GCAGGTTAGTCAGTCTAATTTGATGTCGACAGAGCGGTGCCTCGCGGGATACCGCAGTCGGGAGGGTCCGGCGAAATGTCCGGCGTTCGGCTCTTGTTGCCATATAGACCTGCAGGCAGCGTGTCTTCTTCGAACTTGACTCAAATTGCGAATCACATTGCATTGCGTAGGGCAAACGTTCGGTCGTTGCTGTCGTTCAATGTCAACCTGGAGCGCAGGGGTCACTTTCTCGTCCGGACATTGCAACATCAACTAGCCGTCAACCTGGCCAGGTCTGGGGTTTGTCCAAGTCTGCAGAGCGGACTTGTGTCGAGTTTTCGTGCCCGAGTTGACCGAGTCTCGCAACGCTAGTAAGCAAATTGCTGTTGCATTCTTGCCGTTTTGAGCGCCATGTCTGCCATATGCGTCACACTCTTTCCGGGATCGCAATCCGTTGAGTCTTGTCGTTACGAATCGCGAGGCGCCCTCGTCTGCTTCAACCTCAACCCCTCCCCGGTCACGGAGTTGAATGCGTCAACCTCGTTCTTACCCTTGAATTCCTGGTGGGTCAATGAGAACGCCATCGCGGGGACGCCCGGCGGGGACAACACAGCCAATATGGGAAATATATTGGCACGTCCAGCTTGAGAGAAGCAAGTACTGGGCGCGGCGCTCCGGAGTTGCGCGTGTCGTGCCACGCGCCTGCAGTTGACGACGGTCGTTAGCCGCAGCCCTTGTCTCTTTCTCACACAATCTGTCTCTCTCTTGACTTCAGTCGATCTGCAAGTCCATGCAACTAGGCACAGCCCTCTGATGGTCGACAGCCGGGTTCATATTGTGATGATCCTGGCAACGTAACCGGGTCGGCTCGTCGTATATCGTATGAGTTTGGTATTAGTCCTCCCCTCATCCGGTCCGGTAGCTGTGTGCTTGGCGCGGACGGGTTGCCTCGTCAACTCGGTGATATCAGGAGAAGTCCGTACCCGAGACTCTCCTTCCCAACCTATCGTGTATGTGATCGCGCGTTAATGTCTACGCACGGGCGGCACGTCAACAGTCAAGCGTCGATCACTGTCCTACGGATCGCCGACAACAGGACGGTGTTGGGATGGCAGCGCTAGGTTTGGCCCGTTCCCTCTCCCTCATTCTGTTTCTCCGCCTACCCCCATGGTTCATGATGTTGTCCATCTCTTTGTTTTCGAACTCCATCTCCTCTGATTCTCAGTCCATTCATCCCTACCTAACCCAGTTTCAACTATGCTCTATCAAACTTGCAAACGCCTTACGGAGACTCAATGTCAACCGGAGACTTCCTACTGAATACAACTCCAGTCCGGCCAGAAACAAGGACGAATCAGTGAGGAGCTAGCCGCCGTCATATGGGGCCATGACGGAGGGTGCGTCGAATATCGACGACAGCCAGTCGACGTGAGCTACACTTGCAGATCTGAAACGCAGACATGAACGCCTCGGGAGACGTTCTCCCACACCCTCTTCAACGCCAGTGGACTAGGCGGAAATCCCCGTATTCATCCAGCCATACAGAACCAGGCTTCAGAGTTCCGTGACCCAGGATGCCGCGCGGAGCAGAAGCCAACGACGAGCAAAATAAGAGAAAATCAAGAACGATATTGACTCGCGCCCGTACAAGTGAATAGGGAAGCAGAAATGAGAGGCGGGGTAAGGACAGGCGGGGCTAGAGCCGAAGCAAGCTCGGAACCAATGCTCAGTCACTAGCAACTCCGGCAGATGAGGATTTCTGGGGTGCAACGAAAGTGTGCTGGACTATATTGCGGTGAGTCGGTGATTTCTTCGTCTCTTCCTGGCATTCCCTCTCTGCAGTTTCCCATAACATCATTCCTTCTTCCCGTTTTGTCCCGGCCTCCTCGGTTATCTGCCGAAGTCCTGTTGACCGAGGGTGAGGGATATACAACACTAGTTGGGGCCGTTGTCACATCGGACGGCGGCAGCGGGTTAAGCGATGATGGGACAAGATCGTCCGGAGGGGATGGATCTTGTACTACACCCCCCAGCATCCTAGCTCCTCGTCCCTCTCGCTGCGTGCCCCGGTTCGTTTGCTTTCCCTACCCTTCCACTCTCGTCTATATAGCTCTCAGTCCTCCCCCCTCATCGTCACCTCCTCAACACCGACAACACACCACAGCACAATAGCCCGTCCGATATCAACATATGTGCCGTTGATGAGCTATACATCGATCGACATGACTCCATGCAAGCATCAACCAGGTCGCCGGTCGAGAGCCTTTTGAGACAACAACATTCAACAAGTGGAGAGTGCCTTGGAGGAATAGGCTTCGAATCATGGACTTTGTGTAGGGCACTGGCCATTGGAACAATACCACCGCTAGCGACCGACGATTCCACGATGACGGTTCAACGACTACTTGGAAAGGGGTGACTTTAGAACGAGATTGTTGGAGTAGGTCTACGGGAAACATACGCCTCAGCAACGCTTGATGAGAGGGACACAGAAGCACCGGACATCGGGGGACTGGAAAGAGAACGACCAATCCACAACGTTACTTGCGCGGAAGGATTGGGCTGAAGAAAGTAAGGGTCAACAACGGAAAAGAGAGTGAGGCAACCGCGCGAAGGACGACTATAGCGGAGCTCCGTATGTCCCCATTTTCGAGCTTGGGACGAGAAGATCAAGGCCAAACAATTAGAAGGAAGAAAGAGCCTCAGTGAATGGACGCGCCACCCACATCGTGCCTGGACGACATATAAGCCCCCCGGAACTGGAGTATGGATTTTGAGGTTTGGTGGAAGGTTCCCTTGAAAGAGGACTATGGTCCCAGTGGATATCGAAAGAACCGAACCTAGACCGATATATTATGGGCCTTTCGACATCTGTGTGCCGACGAGAGCCGTTTCCGCGTTCAGCGATGGACGAACGACACGTCAAAGTAGGCGTAGAGGTTGAACGATTGGGCGACGAAAGGAAGAGGTCTTAACGCTGGCCACGGGCCGGAGCGCTGTTCGAACCGAAACCGGATGTAATCCGACTTCCTACTCGAAATGGTTACTTGTGGCGATGGAAGACCGAAGATAAGAATTGGGTAGGCAGGTGTGCATGGATGGATGAGCTGCTCGACTTGGACTTAACAGAACAACACCTCGTGTCCACTTGGATGTTCCTGTTGCTGATATACCGTCGCAGGCTGAATGCCTTGGACAAGCCGATGCCAATGTCCTATGAGCCACAGAGTAAAAATGACGATGCGAAGTCGAAAGGTAGACCACGAGCTGAAGCAGGCTTGGCCCCATGAATGGTCCATATGCTTGATCTTACAGGATCATGTAAGGGAAGAGAAGTGGACAACAGGGAAACAAAACCGCATGTCAGCACTACCATGCTGATTAATGACTGGCCCACAGCACCCGAAGCATCGTCGAGCTGATTCTTCTCAGGTGTTCGCTTTGGTTTTCGTTGTGTCTTTGGCTGTGGCTTCATAGCGCTGCCATCATTTGATAAGGGTTGAGGCATGCGGCTAGGGAAACCCCTTTATGGCTGGGTGCCTGACTACGAGATCGCCAGGTAAAAGCAACGTCGTGACGATGTGTCAGTGCCAGCAGCTTTTCGGTATCTGTCGCAGGCTGTGGGGTTTTGTGCCTTTGAATAATCTCATAGCGGCTGGTTGTATGTTGGATGTTTGACTCTCAAGGAAACTACTTCAGGTAAGTAACGATGATCATGACTAAGTTCCTCTTAAAGGGTACTCACCTAACGACAAGGCCTCCGAAAATTGCTCTCGCACTTGATGAACCGACATCTGTGATGCCATTGCACAATGACCGAGATAAAGTGCAGTTACCTTTCATAAGAAGCTGAAAAGGGGTCCTCGAATCATTCCTGCCTCTCGCCTCTTGCCTTTCACAGTTCGCTTCTGTCATCTGAGCAATTGCTTAGCTTCTTAGTGACTTCGTCTTTGGTCTGAGCGGCGATTTTCATTCATGCATGCCACCCAGGCTGAGGCTGCGAGTACCCCTTAACAACGAGCCGCCGATTACGACCCAACACCGGCTTCAAGTGGGACTTCAGTCATGCCTGAAAGGTCCTGGGTCTGGCCCTCAGGACGTAATACTCCAGCTCGTCTGGAATATTCTAAATCCAGAACCGAGATCCCATCTGGCATTGCTTGGTATTCTGAGGGTCGTGCTGCTGCATAGTGTCATCCCAGCCTTAAAGCAATGCGAAGATATTGTGGGTCAATCAAGACGTATACGTTACGAGGATGCCACTTACATCTAAGCTGCGAGGGTTGAAATTCAACATCTTCATGGTCTTGGGTCAACCTACTAAATTCTTGTTGAAATCAGTTGCTCGGTTTTCTCATGAACAATCCATCCTTTGATTCTTCATTGTGTTACGGGCTACGAGGGAACAATGTTTGTGTTGTAAATCAGTGTAGATAGTTGTACTGGGTCTTATGATGAGTATGGCGAGCGGCACCACTCCGAAAATCTCAACAATGCAAAAGTCAAGTTCAACCACGGGCGAAATTTCAAGAGAACAATGCCGTCTCAATAAATATACAGTTCATGTCTTGAGGATGGATGTCATGCCGGCTGACGCCGAAGGTGCCGGGCAAATCGAGTGTATGACTAATCTCGGTTAAACTACGGCGACTCTTTTCAAGCGCGGGTCGCATTCTGGTGGCAGCTACCACGCTTTCCAAGTCTCGAAGCTCCAGTATCTCCAAATTCGAATCGCAAATCTTTGAGAGCTTTGGTAGCCGGCATTGAGCTTCACCACATGCCGCGCATACTGTAAGTAGGTCTGGAGATGCCTAGGTACGTCGTCTGGAAGCTTTATTACTGCGATTGACGCAGCTGATCCGTCCTCCAGAACGCTTTAATCGAAGCACTGATCCCACACCATGAGGGCGCAAATAGCCCGCCATGTCTGCCGACGTGTCCTCGTTCCAAAGGGATGCGTCCCCGCTTGCTCGATACTCTCCCGACCAGCATGTCGCCATACGCAGCTCCCGGTAGCATCGATGGTATTCTTATCCCGACAAGCCCCGCGACGGACCTTCTTTGGCATCCTGCAGAAGCCCCCGAGACAGGTCAAGAATCCAGAGTATGAGCCTGGGTGGCCGACGGTCCTGATATGGAGGAATAACCTCTTGGAGAGTGTACGGCCGCCTTCAAGGACGGAACTGGTTGAAGCGTTTCGGGAAATGTTCACGTACAAGCTGCGCTGCAATGTTGTTGTCAACAGCACACAAGCGATGCACTGCCGGAACCTACTGAGATACCTGGTCGAAAATAAGGACGACGAGCCGGGACCAGGGTTAACATTGGCGGACCTGACAGCTACCCGTGATGCCTTGTTGAAATTGCCAAAGGAAGATACAGCAGATCACCTGGAGTTCTCCAGGCTCTTATACGATGTGATCAAGGAGGAAAGGGCATTGGACCCAACAGATCCTGGTGCCGCGGATGACTTCGAGGCTTATCTCATTGCTCTGACGCTCTTTGGCGCCTCTACTGAAGCCTTCTCTACTTTGCAGCAACACTGGACTCAGCTGCCGGAGGCGGAGCGACCGAACGCCCAGAACCTTTGGATCAACGTCCTGCAAGGCCTGGCGGAAGAAGGACGTGAGGCAGAGCTACTTGCCGCTGCCACAAAGGCTGAAGAGCTTGGGGTGCCTTTTACATCAAGCTTTCACGAGGTCATGACAACCTTCTATGCCAAGAAGAATAACGTTTTGGAAACAAAAAAGTGGTTTTTGAGACCGGCTGTGGACGACAAACTGCAGAGCCCTAGGACTTTCAAAGAGATTCTGCACTTCTCAGTCAGAAATAACCAAGGTGGCTGGTCTGCGCCGATCTTCAAGAAGCTTATCGACGAGAACCCGAGCAAAGAGCATTGGGACGTCATCTATCAGTGGGCCGTACTATCGATGGGGAAAGGTCTTGATGATATCAAGGGCATGTTCGAAGTCGTTGCTCGCCACAACCCCAATGACAGCTCTCACCTGCCAGACATACAAACCATCAATGGTCTCCTGGAGGTTGCAATCGAGAAGAATGACCCGTACCTGGCGGAAAGACTCATCTCATTCTCCAGCGAGCTCGGCATTCGGCCTGATGCGAAGACGTATCTTCTCCAGATGGACTTCAAGATCCGGGCAAAAGACCTGACCGGGGCAAAGACGGCATACATGCAGCTCCCAAAGGCAGAGCTCAACGGAGAGGAGGACCTGCCTCTAGTCAACAAATACCTACAGGCGTTATGTTACCAGACCAAACTGGATTTCAAGGCGATACGCGAGATGTTGGATATTCTAGAGGAGCGCATCGTAACACTGGATCCAGAGACAGTGGTTGCATTGTGCACTGTCTTCCTGAAAAACGACCAACAGTTTGAGATCATCGACACCCTCTCGCTCAACGTATTTCAGCACAGCAACGAACAACGGCGATCTGTCAGAGACGCCTTTGTGACGTTCTGTTTAGACAAGAAGAACAGCACCGCAAGGGTCTGGGACGCCTATGCTATCTTGCGTCAGTTCTTCCAGGAAACCAGCGTCGAGAGCCGTATGAGGCTTATGGATGGGTTTTTCGACCGCAACCGAGCTGACATGGCAGTTCACGTCTTTGGCCACATGCGTCAGCATGTCAGCCCGGCATTCCACCCCACCAGCGACAACTACGTGCAATGCCTCGAAGGCATGGGCCGGTGTCCCGACCTGGATAGCCTCAGGTTGGTCCATAACATGCTGAAGATGGACACCAAGATTCAAACAAGCACCAAGATGTTTAACGCCTTGATGATTGCATACGGGGCATGCCGAAAGCCAAGCATTGGACTTGAGTTCTGGCAGGAAATTGTTCGTTCAGCTGAAGGCCCATCATACAACAGTCTCGAGATTGTGTTTTATCTCTGTGAAATCAAAGCCTTTGGTGACCAGATTGCGCGAGACATCTGGAAGAAGATGGAAAAGATGGAGATCGACGTCCCTCCAGCGGTGTTTGCCGCCTACTGCGGAGGCCTTGCAGGCAATGGTAACCTGCAGGAGGTGCAGAGCACAATCAGGACCATGAAGCGAGCTGTAGGGTATGGGCCCGATGCGATGACGTGAGTAGGGCCTTTTCGGATCCCCTTTTTGACTTGAGAGCTAACTTTCAACAGACTGGGCATCCCTTTCAACGCATTACCTGGCCAAAGGCTGCAGCGTGACTTCGAGGCATGGGCAAAGAAGCAGTTCCCGGAAGAATGGGCCGAGGTCGAAAAGTTCCGCTACTATCACACGGCGGAGAAGTTGAAGAAGTTCAAGCTGCAGCGGGTACTAAAGGCATGATATGTACAAAAGAAAAGTGCGAGAGAAGCTTCTTGTATCTGTACATTTATAATAGACGCCAAAATGTTGTACAATTCATACACGAGAGACTCCCCATGTTCAGTTACAATGCTACATGTACCATGCAAGCCGCATCCTTATCCAAATCTATTTCCATGATGCATTGAGGCGGAATTTCCTCTTCAACAGCTCGGGGTGATGGTGCACACTGGGGTGGATACCCATGCCAATCGCTCTCCTGATGGCCTTCGCCATCTTTCTCTGGTTCACTGGCCGCAGACCCGTGTTCTTCGAGTGCTCAATCTGTCCAAACGAAGTCATATACTCGGAAACCATGGAGAAATTCTGCGAAGCATTGTCAGCATTGTGAGGCCCTGCAGTTGGCAAGTAATACCTACTCTGTAATGGTCCAGGGGGTTGATGCCCAGGAGGTCGATGACATCGACATTGGGCCGCTTCGACTTGCGCCACTTTTCCACCTCAACGGAACTCAGGTCGTGAGGCGCGTAGACTTCACCAGCGCGCCAGCGACGCGGCATCTGCTTGATGTAGTCGTCGCTGATCTTCCTCTCGCGGAGAGATTCGACCATGGTGCGCTTGCGGGCGGCAACTCCCTCGATGCGCGCCTTGCCGCCCTGGTTGATGATGCCACGGATACGTTCGGTCGAGTGCACCTGGGGCTTTTCGTCAAGATCCAGGAGATTCGAGATCGGGTCAGCGGACTCTGCAGCGAGAGGCGTTAGCTATGGCGCGCCAGGACTAGGGAGGTTGACAAGGTAGGCATTGACGTACGGGTGTTGGCAGAAGTGGATGAAAAGGGTCGCGCAATCCGGGACATGAAGACACCCGGGGCCTTGACGGCCGAAAGAAACGGTAATCTGGGGGGCATGGCCGGTTTTGTGAGGTTGTTGGTCGAGGCGTGGTCTGTTGCTAAGGTTGAAGCTGTCACGGAAATTCTTTGGTAGGCTGACGGAACCTTCCGCTCCACTTTTCTACGATAAGGCCGATAAGGATTTTGTCCCGCCTCGGCTCCAGAACTTTTTCTTTGCCAGACGACCGGTCACCGTCGACATCCGCCATACCAAGTTGGAAACTCGAGACGCCGAAAGCCCGACATGGTCCGCAAACTCAAGTATCACGAGCAGAAGCTTCTTCGGAAGCATGACTTCATTACGTACAAGCAGGTACGGAGATCACCGCCGCTTGCGCATTTCACCAGGATGAGGCGCATGTGCTAACGACGATTGTGATAGGATGGAGATCACCGCGATGCCTCAGTGGTACGACAAATTCCAGAAGTAACTGTTGCCGCCATGTATTCTGACATGCAAACAGGTGCGCAGATATATGATCCAGAAGCCTGAAGATTATGTGAGTACTGTTCCGGACCCTCTGCATAGCCAAGAGGTACTGACAAACGTGGACAGCATAAATACAACAGACTATGCGGCGTAAGTTGGACAGCCAATGATCCGCGCTGAGCACACCCCACGGTCGAGTATACACTCCTGCAGTAACTGACGCTGGCTTCCAGTCCATCCGTCAGCTCGCACACAGAATCAGTCTCATGCCCCCGGAAAACGCGGCCCGCCGAAAGCACGAGAAGCTTCTCCTCGACAAGCTGTACGACATGGGCATTCTGTCCACGGCCTCGAAGCTGTCAGCTGTCGAGCACAATGTCACGGTCAGCGCGTTTGCAAGACGGCGTCTCCCCGTTGTCATGACTCGCCTCCGGTATGGATTCACAACACGCTTCTCTAGGCGAGCGTGATGCTGACTGGGATCACAGTATGGCCGAGACCGTACAGGCAGCGACGAAACTCATCGAGCAAGGACACGTCCGTGTTGGTACAGAAACCTGCGTCGATCCAGCCTTCTTGGTAACCCGCAGTATGGAAGACTTTGTCACATGGACCGTGGGTAGCAAGGTGAAGCGGAACATCATGAAGTACCGGGACAAGCTGGACGATTTTGAGTTGTTGTAACGTGCCGAATTGACTTTCGGATGGTTGGCTTGCCGCCATGGCCTAGAGCTTGGTTTTCGTCATTTTTCGGCGGCGTTATGGAGTTATGAGGATGGGCCTTCGAAATGCATTCGCCTACTGCCAAGTTCTACACATCGGCCCCTGAGTCAGCGCCAAGGGAATGGTATAATCAGCGAGCCTTTGGCAAAGTCTAGAGGTGGACACAGCTTCCAGATGTGAGAACGACAGAACGCCGTATCGAACTGCACTCGGCGGTGTACGTCATCAAAGCAGTTCGCCTGATGCACATGTACGGATGAGGGGCAGCAGGCTTGGCTCCTGTAGGAGTCATCTCGGCGATTACAACTCTCAAGCGACGCAATCGGCGCCTACTTTCGCCTGTCAACTCATTACACGCGAAGTATACTGAGCGTTGAGATCGAATCATCGAGGGACGGAAGGCAAACCAAAGTTTTGTTGCAGAAGCTTCATGCTGGCTGATGCAACTCTCGGCGAGGAGATGAACGCCCCTTGGGGAGATGAAACGGTCATAAGGTTTTGCCATATAGCAGACAGATGAGCGAATACAATATTGCCGCACGGAGATTGTCGCTGAAGGCCCCGATGCGGGAGGCGAGGCCAATGCCGAATTGGGAAGTGGATGAGAAGAAGTCAGTGACAGTGAGGAGTCGGCTCGCAATGTGGAGATATTCGACCTGGCCAGGATAGGCATGCCGTCCGGGGTCGGAACAAAGTTTTGCAAGCTACAACAAGAAGAACGTAAAAAGCCGTCAGAAGATGACTATATGAGGTGGAGAAGGATGCTCGCATGGACACCCTGCGAGAAGCCGCTGATTTGGACAATCGTTTACTCAAGTCTTGAAACAGAGTACATGACCAATTGATGCCTAAGGGCCAGCATTCTGGATGGCGCAGATGTGGTTCTTGGTAATCATACTTCTCGAGATCCTGGCCAAGCATTTGAGGTTATCGTTCCCCTCAGTGTCTGATATTTTACACCTACGGTACTGCGAACTATGGTGGTCCGAAACATCAGCTCAGGGGGTTGGCGCGATGGCTTTGTTTGGATGGCCGAAGCATGTCTGGGGAAGTTTGCAGCTGCGACTCCGGCTGGTGGCCCGGCATGCTTTATAATACATGGTCGTCCTAGGGACTTTTTTCTCATATCGGCACCTCGTCCCGGAATTACATTCTTTGGTGATACTGTAGCGCGCTGGCCGACTCTTACACTCCTTTGTAGCTCATAATGCTCGAGGTTCACTTCGAAAACATATATAACCGCTGGCAGCTCTACAATGTCAGCTCATCTTCTTTTTTTTTCATCCTTTCTTTTTAAAATTATACAAGCCGCCAATTGGCCATAGTGCTCACTGGCGTCGTCTTCACGTAGTCTATATGAAGGTTCTCACAATGTCTGCCTTTAAGTGCGCCTTGTTAGTCTCGGCTGTGCTTCAGGCCGCCAATGCCCACGGCACGGTAACAGGTATCATGGCAGACGGAGTCTTGTAAGCCTGGAACCAGCATCCCACTCACTCTGACAATTCGTGTTCACTAACCTAATCACTCTCCAGCTATGAGGGCTACAATCCCTCGATGCAGTTCCAGAACCCCCCACCAAAGGTTGTGGGCTGGTCCACCCCCAAGGACCTGGATAACGGCTTCGTCTCCTCCAACAAGTACTCGGACCCGGACATCATCTGCCATGTCGGCGCGACGCCGGCGCCCATCGCCGCCAAGGTGACGGCGGGCTCGAGCCTGACCGTCTTCTGGACCCAGTGGCCCGATTCGCACCGCGGGCCCATGATGGACTACCTCGCCCCTTGCAACGGCGACTGCGCCAACGTCGACAAGTCGAACCTGCAGTTCTTCAAGGTCGACGCCGTCGGGCTCTTGGACGGCTCCAAGGCGCCGGGAAAGTGGGCCTCGGACGAGATGATTGCCAAGAACAACTCCTGGACTCTGACGATCCCGTCCGACATCGCCGAGGGCCATTACGTCCTCCGCCACGAGACCATCGCGCTCCACGACGCGGGCCACGAGGGCGGCGCGCAGAACTACCCGCAGTGCATCAACATCGACGTCCAGGGAGGCGGGTCCGAGAAGCCCTCCGGCGTCAAGGGCACGGAGCTGTACAAGGCCAGCGACGCGGGCATCAAGATAAGCATCTACCAGGACAACATCAAGTACTCCATCCCCGGGCCACCGGTAATCGGCAAGCAGCAGAAGCGGAGTCCTGAGCGTCAGCGGAAGCGGGTGGCTGTCGTTTACTGAGCGAAGGCTTCATGCCATATGTACAAAACATTTCGTTTCTTTATGTATTTCTACCGATGCTTACATACAATAACGCATAATAATGGTGTGGCCTACTCGACTTTGTTATGCTCGACATGCAAGACGTGTTATCAAGATGTATCCAATTGTTATAGACAGCGGTCGTGTATGATATAAAAGCCCTACATTGTGTTACTATCGCGAATAATGTGATATCCGGTAGTTCCCGGTCCGAATTAAAACCATGGAGGAACCTTTCCTCATATCAGTTTCCTTGGCCATCCCTCACCGACGGTAAACAGCGCAAGTATCGCCCCCTCCACCCCTTCCCCTCCATCTAAAGAAACAGGAAACCGGTCTTCTGCCTGGTTTGGTGGCACAACGACGTACATCCTGGTTTGCCCCTGGTGTCGGTTTCACCATCGTATCTCGCACCTCCCTCCCTGCATTGCCGATAACCGAATCTCGCCATGAATCTTTGTCTCCCCTCTCTTGGGCCAACGCTCTCGGACGGGATCTTGGTCGACACGGAGCACATGGGCGTCCGAGTGCCCCGGACGCCGCAGGGTCCTTTCCATAACACTTTCTTCGTTATGTTTTTGTTTCGACGAGACACTATTACAGACCTGGCCCATGGTTGGATGGTGTTATTGAATGCTCTGCTGGAGTATCAGAATACGAGTTGAATGGCGCCATGCCGAGGGATATATCGCATGCCTCCGTACCACGGCTCACGGGCAAGATGCACAAGCTGGGTATAGCGAGTATAACATAAGAACCGACATGCATTTTATTGAAATGTAAGTTCAACTGAGAGCAGCATAGTACGGCTATCCAGTAGGAGGGGGGGGGGGTTCCAGGCGCGGCGGTGCATGGCTTAGAGGTTGAATGCGAGTCTGCAGTGAAGCTTTGGCTGTACGAGGAGAACCCCTCGCATTTGACACTCATTCTCCGCAGTATTGCTCCTCAGCATGTAGCCGTCTTGGGGTGAGCGTGCTCAGGTCGGTGCCTACGTCTCATGGTGTTTGGTTCAGCAGAACGAAGCCATCCCTTCCTAATCATTTGTAAGTCTGAATCCTGAAGCATTGATGGGCTTGTGTCGCTCATAGAACATCAAGGTGTTCCGGCCCTGCCACCCCTCTATTGTCTCTTGGTTCCCCTTCACGGAAGACGCAAAGCCGCCTTGGGATATACATTTTCCGGTTTGCGGACTCACCGCGTTGCACATCCAGCACGGCATCTATGTATTTTGGCACCTTTTAAATGGCATAACGATGAACCTCTGCACTCAAGTGTGAGATACTCCATCTTTCTCTGTCGGGTTTCGCATTTCCCACTTGAGCAACATTCATCGAGGGGAGTTGATTGCGGGTGGTCTTTGTACACAATCGACATCTAGGCATAGAAGCCACACCGTATGACCCAGTGTTTACCTGACCTAGCCACTCCGACCCCTATGCTTGACCCTCCACATCATCACGGACGTGTCTTTGAACAGAAAACAGGCTTTTGCATTATTTGGGGGTATCTAGTCGTCAAACACCCTCGATCCTCGCAATCCCACGCAGGCTAGCGGAGTCTCATGGCGCTGCCTCGGCTATGAGGCGCTTCGTCGCACTCCCGGATGCGCGTCTTGTAGTTTCCAGCCCCATCCACCCGGGTCGGGGGCTTGGGCAGCATAGAGATTACTCCCCGATGCATCCATCGCCCTTGGCTGAATCGTTCCCAGTGGCCCTCTTTGCTACATCAAACGCAGCATTCCTTCAAGCCATGCCCATGCAGATCGTAACATGCTCCCATCGAAAAGGCCGAGCAAGCCTTAGCCGTACTTGCGGCTGCCACCCTTGTGCGTCTTCTCGTCCTTGGCACCCTTGGCCTTTTTGCCCTTGCCGATGAGCTCCAGATGGCCGGCCCGCTCGCCGAGAAGCTTCTCCGTCCGGCTGACGAGGCCGGCGGCGAGCTTCTTCTGCAACTTGTCCGCGGAGCCGTGGGCCTTGGCCTTTTGCGGCTTCGCCACGCGCGAGGCGTTCTTGGTCGACTTCTGCTTGGGCTTGCCCGTCGGCGCAGGGCGCGACGAGGATTTGATGCCGCCTTGAGCCATTGTTTGGGGGTTGGGATGTGTGTGTCCGGATTCGGTATGTACGTCTCCCCGGGGGCCGTGGTTTGGTCGAGTGCGTAACCCGTAGGCGGTCGACGCCTCGTGAGAACGAAGAGATTTGCGCCGGAGGGCTGAGTGGATGCCGCTTTAGTGGAATTTGAAGAATGGTTATCTGCGTCCAATGTTCTGTCCGCAGGTCGCTAGGGAGGTTGTGTGTTGTGCGTTGGCCTCGAAGCAAGATGATCCGGGCGACGTCGAGAGAGAGTGAAAAGGCAAAGTTCAAGCGCTCGGTCGGTCCTAGGCTAGAGAAAATTTTAGTGGACCCCGAGCTTATCGCTCACCGACACACCGACCCCACCCCCACCAAGAGACGGACCCCTAAACTGACTGTTACGTAAGTCCGCAGCTCACGACGGCGTACTTGAGTCACAGAGCGCAACAGCAGATACTTGGATGGAATCAATCGGCTATATACACACCAACCGCGCCATAACACTGGCATTCTAGGCTTAGGCTGAGTAGCGGGTGAAGTGGTACATGGATCTAGCTGTTGCCGCTTGCCACTTGCCGCTTGTCTCTTGGGCCTCGTTCCCGCACTTCCGAAGACGTACTACGTCGGATGCATCGCCTTGGACTGGTCTGTCTGTTTGACTTGACGGGCTTGAGATCTAGAGGGTGGTATGATCCTTTCGGGGGAAACGCTGCCACTCCGCCTGCACCCATTTGTATGTCTGGAGAAGGGCCACTCGGAGATTGACGAGGTTGCGCCGTCTAGTACACCCAGCCGGCACCGTCAACAGATGTTAGTCCAATTCTTTTCCCCTGTCCCGTAGGCCGAAACCAGCTGTACTTTATCAATACCCGGTTCAATCCTGAGACTGCGAAGCACATCAAGAATCAAATCGAGTGGGCAGCTGCTTTGATCGGCCCAGAGGACGTCGTCAAAATAGACGAGATTTCGGCTACGGCGGAAGTCAGAAATGTCCTGACGAACGAAACACTGTTCGTCTTTGATCCCTCCTACGCTAGGGTCTTTTTTTGCAAAAGGAATCAACAGGCGCAACCCGGATATTGAACTGCCCGAACCCGAACCCGCTGGCGATTGTCTGGTGACCTACGATATCGGTACTTAGTTGAAGAAGAGGATAGGGGCCTGCTTTGGTCACGGCTGTGACACTCGCGCAGACTGCGAACGGTAGACAAATGGCAACCGTAATCTCTGTCACGACTATAGGGTTGGCAGCGGATGTGATAAATCAGTGACGAATTCTGCCGGTTAAAGGTTATATGATAGTCAAGTGCACAACACGCTGCTGTTGCGTTCGCGGCGAGAGTATTCGCCATAAACTAGAGGTAGTCATAGGCCCTATTGTACCCTGTACATGCACCATTTAGGTCGCACTCTAAATGCCATAGGCGCCAAAAGAAAATAGGCCTCCTTTTTACCTTCATGTATGTATGTGCTTTCTCAGGAGGTTAGTCTTGTAACTTGCTACCATACAGTGCCGAAATACGGGGGAGGGCGACACTCACCGAGGATACCAAACCCAGTAAGCAAATACTCTTTCAAGAGCTCGGGGATCTCCTTCTAGTAAGTTCTTGCTCCTCCACGTCCTCTTTCAACGGCATCCTCCCGTTTCTCTTCGAAAATCCATTCTTGATTGTCAAGAAAACCCCAGGCATATCCGAGCCGGCACCGTTCATGACCGCTGCGGGATGCACTGCGCTGAACACTGCGATGGCAAGAAACATGGGCAAGGCTTCCAGAACGTAAAAGTACGCTTCGTGGGTGATAAGGGCGTTGTCCACACCATGCCCAGACGAGAAGTCGACGAGACGGTAGATGATTCTGATGGTGATCATACCGAGGGAGAAATACAACGCCCACATGAGTGGCTCCCAGGGTCGAGGTTGCGCCCCACGAAACCTGTCCATCTTTTGGATCTCGAGTTGGAACTTCAGCGCCAAGCCAACGAAGATGAGGATGAAGAACTCCTGAAGGCCGATGCCTCCCATGTAGATATGAATCGCCTTCATCTGTTCCGCAGGCGGAGCCGTCGGGCCAGCCATTGAGCCGCCTGCCAATTGCACGGCGAAGGAGACGATATCGAGGACCACAAAAATGGCAGCGAAGGATGAAGCTGGTATGCTCAGGAGAGACCGCGATGGGTGAAAAAAGTAGATCATTCGTCCCAGAGTCATGTAAGCAAACGCGTTGACCCCTGAACCGTGTCAGCTCTAGCACATAAGCAGCCTGGACTCTCAAATAACAACCGACTCACAGATGGGTGCAAGCAGAATGAAGATCTGAAACACGAGATAGACCCCATCGCTTTGCTGATTTTTGCTGCTGGCCGCTCTGAAGACGAATGCCAGAGTCTCCCAGATGCCCGCCATGATAATGGCCCAGCACCACCTCCGGGGTCTGGTCAGCGTGTGCATACATACAATACAGCATTAGGCTCTGAAAGCGTCAAGACATACGAACCTTCTTGTGCTTGGCAGTTTGCCATATATGAACGGCAGTCAGGAGGGCAAAGAGCACCGCAAACACCGCAGCCGCAACGAAGCTGGGGTAGTAGTTCCAGATGGCACCGCATTCGCCAGGTGGGACATACCCGTTGACGTCTGGCTTTATAGTCTGGATGCACGTGGGGATAGCTATTTCGATAGTTTTGGCGGGGATATTGACATGGCTATTTGTCATACCGGGAATTATAATGTGCTTTGTTGTGATGAAGACGCCCGTCGGGATAAATGATGATGCGGACGAGATGAGTGTGTCTTGCCGTCTCTATACAGACCCCAGCAAAGTTGGCGTGGGTGAGGAGCCTGGCTGTAAGGCAAGGGCGAAGGCTGAGGAGGCTGCAGCAAGGATGACACTAGAGAATCGCATTTTGATGAGGGTGAATATAAATGAGGATTGTGTTTAAGACTGTTCACAGCGGCATCTAATTGTCATTGATGTCATTGGGACTTCAAGCTTGATCATTGGGTCTGAACCATGGTCCTTATAAGTCAACTTTCCGAGACTCTATTCAACTCGTCCACCACATAGCATACATAGCGTCTGGCCATACACAGCCCCCCCCCCCCCCCCCCCCCCAAGGCCCGATTCGCTTCTTTACATGAAGGATGCGATGCGTGCACAGGAACAGCGCAAATAATAATAGCAACGCGAGATTCTCGTTACGTACCCCCTGGCGAGCGTCATCATTGCATGAGGCGTACGCGTGGCCCAGACTTTTGCCCGGTTGTCCTTCGCAGCACTTTGTAACAACGAGACAAGAAAGGTAGGTAGATAGTGGTGAAGCGAAGTTCATACACATACAGCAGGGACTTATCACAGTGCTTTGTTGTCGTGGATAACGAGCTTCGGTTAGCAAAAGTAATCAAAATCCGAGATTCAGTCCAATATTCAAGCTAACCATTCAAAATGACACCTTGGATACTGGATAGGATTAGATGGAACAAGACTTGTACCGTGATTCATCAAGGTGTATCCGTATGCTGAATAATTGATCACACTGTGACAATGGTTCCTGGCTGCAACCTTGGAATGCAGCAACACCTGGCGGAGCACTTGGCTGAAATAGGCAAGTCAACAGGTTAGGCGTATTTCTAGGACGGGGTACCCTTGCCCCTATCCTTGAAGCAGTGTGTCTCCGGATAGGCGAGCTTGGAGAGGGCTTTGAATTTTGGTTTCACATACTCAGTAACGAGACGCAGTCGCAGGCGTGACAGCCGCGGTCGTCGGTGAAGGTGGGGACGAAGGGGAGAGGCCGGAAGCCGATCGGTGAAGTCGGCCGGGACGAGATCCACCGGTGTCACGGCAAGGCCCGGTCAGCGACAGCGATAGAGGTCTGCTGGAACGCCTCGTTATAAGTGTTGACGACCCGTTCCGGGATTGATATTGGGGAAGCATCCGCGGATGTGGGCAGGGCCGCTCGTCGTCTGAGGCTCTCGACTTTACACAAGTTCCATATTCGTGAGGAAGGAAACATCTAGCTGGGAGGAGAGGTCAGACATGCTTTCTACTAAGTTCCTTCTCTCAGCCAAATCCTGATTCATTGTCTTCTCCTTCCGACTCGACTGGATGGACGCAAGCCAACTTACACCTCTCACTTGTATTTCAGCTTGTCTCTTTCCTTCATATTAACTAGCATCACCACCGTTCGAGAAATCGACGGCATATACTCACGTCTCAACATGGCACATTTTGTATCTCCATCGCGACCCGAATCCAACGTTCTAGGGCCTTCTATTGTAAATGCTTATCCGCCAACCTCCATCCAACGCCATGGTCAGCCCACCAGACCTCTCTGTCTTCCGACGTCCAGATGTGTCACAACCCTGGCGCCCAGGAAGTCATCAACTCGACACCATCCGCCTATTCGCTTTTCCTCCACTGCATCTATTCATCGTCGCTCTAGCGTATGGCTGCTTAAACAATACTCCCAGGCCGACTAAGTCGACGACTGTCGACCCGGATTCTACTGTCGACATACTCGTACGCCATGTCGCCTTCTTCGGAGCCACTGGTTTGACGGTTTTCAAGTGCTTGAGACATGCCCTAGATGATCCGACTCTTGTATGTCATGTTTGTGAGTGGGTTTTCGTATGTTTTGATCGTGGACGAGCTGCAAGGTTCGCCATGCTTTCGGTCACTTTTGCTTGATTGCACTGTTCCAAAAAGACATTCTCACACATGTCCATACAGATGTCAGAAACCGGTTGCTTCTAGAAACCATGACGGAAATCACGGGGACACTGTCTCCCAATCAAGCCGCTCGCCTAAGAGTTGTGGATGGGGGTTTGGATGACATGGAGACTCTCGTCGACGTCCTTTTCCCCAAAGTACTCGAGGGAGAACCCGTCCACGTCATCATATACGGTATCGGGGGGTTCAGAACCCAGTGGATTACAGACAATACCAGTAATACCCAAGGAGTTATGGCTAATTCCTACATCTCTGAAGAAGCCGTATTCACGGTCATTGCCGCACTCTTAGCGGGCTTTCAAAAGCTTGGATCGCGGGAGAGGCCTCGGATTGTCAGCATAGGCACTATATCCATCACCAGACAAATTTATCAATCGTGTAATCCCCTCGCAGTCAAGGCCAGGCCACTATACGAATGGTTTATGGGCAAACAAGAAGATTCGGACCCTAGTCAACGAAATCCAATCCATCGTGACAACATTTCCAGCGACACGTCCAGCGATACCAGCAGTGAGCATACCATCACACAGCTCAACTACGATAGATCTTGTAGAAGTGAAAACGACGAGACCAGCAGCTATTACGAAAGCAGTGATGACTCAAGCACCAGTAGTGGGGCGCAAACCGATACGGAGGCCAGCGAGGCAGAATCCACGTCGAGTATGGAAGTTCGATCTGCCAATGCCGACAAATCCGCAATGGAGGAGGCCATACGGCACCATTACCCTTGCTTCAGCTCTTCCCTTATCGTTCGACCTACACTCCTCACCTACGATCGACCTTACGGACTCTAGGCGATACGGATCGGCGGGGTAGGGAACTCGGCTCCTGGATATACCATCGCCAAACGAGATGTTGCTGAGTGGCTGTACTATCATGGCATTCTAGGCGCATTGGAAGGGACAGTTACGATCACTACATGAGGGCAGTCAGCAAATGAATCGGTCAGCAGAAGCGTGTTTTCTATTGCAAAATTGGGATCCTCAAAAGCATGCCTAGCGTTGGCTGATATCAGCTCAAGTGCACAGCGATATATGTATTCTCCGTAAATACAATAGACCGTTAAAAGAATCTCCATAATATACGTCGCATATTCCATACCATGTTGTCGGAAGATTGGTGATGGTGAATTGCATACCGTCCATCCTCGCAATACCTGAACCCCGGCTTACTGCTAGCCTCCGTCATCATATCCCGGCCGCACGGTAATTGCAAGAGTCTGACGGATGCGGACAGTCGGAATGCGAAGAGTATCCACTCGGAGGTCCCACCGGGCCCCGCTTCGCCGCCGGCCGGCGGTCGGCACCTGGGCGCCGCAACTCTCGTCAGCGCTCACTTTGTCAGAAAGCATTGTTTGAACCATCATTAGAAGCCGTTATTAGATACTTGGTTGGCATGCGCCTATTACTCATTGACCTCCATATCGAATTTACTCCCAAAGCTCTCATCAGGGACCGTGTTCATCAGACCGCATCCACGGACACTTTCCCATTCACCCCGGGCACGGTATTCCCTCAGCATCCACCCATCAACTCGGGCCACACTCGCCTAGAGACCTTCACCCTCAGACCGCTCTGGAGGACCGTCAGCAAAGAATGTCGACGACACGGCGGAAAAGGAAACACTCGACCGCTTACCCTGAGCCATGGCGAGCCAAGCCTGTCAAAGTCGAGATCGTCGAAACGCACAGTCCGAGGTTGGTCTGGGGTCACCCATCCGATGTCGTAGCAGCGAAGAAGAGTGGCCAGAGTCTGGGTGACGACGATGGCGGCCATCCCCTCGCCGGGGCACCGGCGGCCTCCGCTGCCGAGGACCGCGCACCTGTCCCCGAGGTCGACCAGCTTGTTCTCGGCGTTGAGCCAGCGTCCGGGCATCCAGGTGTCGAAGTTCGGGTAGCTTTCGGAGTCCTCGTGCTTCAGCGGCGCCGCCGCCGCCGCCGCCCGGGAGCGCTTCATTGCATTGTAGTGACGCGTCGTCTCCTTGATGCAGGCCTGGAGCAGCGCGGAGTCGCCCGCCCCGCTCCGAGCATCCCTCTTGACGGCGGCCATGACGTCCGGGTGGCGCAGAAGCTACGATACGATTGTCAGTCTCTGCGGAGCAATCTCTTACATGCCTGTGACACACGTACGCAAACGACAGCCCACGAAATCACGGCAGCGGTCGAGGTATCGGAAGCCAACATGAGGACGGTGTGATGAGAAGCGAAGCAATGCCTTAGCGGCGCCGTGCTCCTGTCGTGTAGCATGTACGTGATGTAGTCCGGCAGGTCGGACCGGAGCTCGCCGTTCTTCGCATCCACGTGTCTCTGGCCGAGCCTTTCCAAGAAGATCTCCCCGACCCGCTCGCGAGCACGGCGCAGGCGTCGAGCGGGCGGGTAGGGCGCCCAGTCAGGAAGCGCCGAGCACCAGAAATCGCCGGCGTCGCGCTCCATCGACCGCACGAGGCCCAGGAGCTCGTCGCCCGACTCGCAAAAGTCGTCGCCCATCAGGCTTCTCACAAGAACGTTGTGCGTCAGCTCCGAGACCCCGGCGAATAGCTCGACGTCGCTCCTCGTCGTCCACTCCAGCGCGCTACTGTGCGTCTCCCCAGTGGTGCATCTGGCCGTGTGCTCCTGCGCCTCGGCGCGGCCCATGTACCGGGGGAAAGATCCGACCATGGCCTTGCTGTTTTTCGTGTATTCTAGATCGACAGTCTTGTTGAGAAATGCGCCCTTGGTTTTCGTGCGTTAAGACAAGATGTTCCACGAGTGTCTCAAATGGGGGGCTCACCATTCCATGGCAGAATGAAGGGGCATTCTCCGAAACGTCGAGATGAACCACGTCGAGCTTCGTAGTACGAAGTAAACAGTTGTAGATCATTTGTAGTTGGACTGAGAGGGCGCTTCCGCATCGCACTCCCGCCTCACGGATGAGCGAAACGGGGCTGGCTGCATAGTCGGGCGCGTTACCGAGGAAGGACGGGGAGCCCTTGCCGTGGTAAGGCGACGTCTTTCTAGGCTGTGAGAACCATTTTGCGAGGAGCAGGACTGCCACAAAAACAAGTGGCATCAAAAGCACCACCATGGTAACGAGCGGGTGCGGTATGGCAAAACACAAGAGGGAGCAAGCAAACGACTGCAGGCAAAACGCACCCGCTACTAGACGCAGTGAGTGGCCTCTCGACTGCTACGGGAGAACGAAAAGAAAAAGAAAACAAGAAAGGACGGCTATGGGAGAAAGATGGGAAACCCATGCCGACGACTGGTGCTTCTTATAAATCCTGATCAGCGATCCCGCCCGCCCGCTTCGTTGCTCAAACGCCCATCAGCCATCAACGCCGGAGGTCCGCGCCAAGCGACTGAGACAGAACCTCTTGGCATACGATGTTGAGGTTGATTATGGTGCAACACATATGGATCAACAGGATGGGATACACGTGCGATAAAGCCTTGGGTGTCAGGGGGGGGTAACCAAGGGGACTCTTAGGGAGCATGGGAATGCGGTTTCCAAGGGATGAGCCCACAGCAACGATGGGTCAACATGACTCCAGAACTCACTCATATAGATATCTTGCTACGTTTTTACAATTCCTGTTATTTATAGGGTTTTGCATTTGTTGGGTGAATACACATGCTACTACGATTGGTCGAGGTGGATGGGGGCACTGAACATGTAAAGAGAGATGGGGAGGAGTTTGTTGTTGTTTTGCCGTTCATGTTTTTCTGTCTTCCACGTGCGGAGATACGCCCACAAATAAACAAAAAGAGAGACCTGATTAGATTCTGGAGTGCCATCAGGTTGTCTGCGCGGCCCCCGTGACGACAACTTGTCAAGGCTACGGCCAATGATAGAGGAACCCAATCGCAACCCCCCCCCCCCCCCCCCCCCCCCTCCCAAGGGAGGGAACCCGACAAAGGGAAGCACCAGGTATAGGTCCAGCATTGATCACAGAAGCGGCGATAGAGTTCTCGTAAAAGATGACATGAGGATTGCGTGGTGGAAGTCGAACATGATCCTTTTCTGCCCACGCATGATGGACTAAAACCAGTCGAGCCCGATTGGCCATGGACATCGGATGAGAGAGAACAAGCTGCTGCCCGAGGGGCCACATCGTCCGCGTCGGGCTTTCTGTCTAATCGGAGCGACCTTTTTTCTCTTGTTCTCCTCCCAATCCCATCAACTGATCCCGGTGCAAAGCATTGCCGGCATCTCTAGGCAGAAATTGGAATCATGACCGCTATACTTGATAGAGGCGCACCAAGACCCGAAGAGCTCGGTGACGCAGCGAGTCTTTTGAGGTATGTTTGATTGTTCAAAGGGCAATGTCGATGCGACCCGCCAGTACGCTATAGCTGAATCTTGCTGTGTTCCATTGGAGGGGAGGTGTGTGTGTGCTGCGAAAGTGGCGGGTTGCGATCGGGGCAAAACCGAAGTCTAGTGGGAGCAAAATACAACATCGTTTGGCTTCTCAGCCGGAAAAAGCGCATGGCGGGTTGTCCTGGGTCCTTCACATGAGCTCGGGTCCAAGCAGCACCGAATCTCATCTCATGCCACGCACAATCGCTGACCCCCCCGAGACAGACAGCCTCAGACCATCATCTGGCTCAAGACCTCTGACCAGTCGTTCGCCATCCACAAGTCCCTCCTGGTCGAGTCATCCAAGTACTTCCAGCGCTGCCTCGACGGCCCCTTTGCCGAGTCGGCGACCAACACGATCGACCTCAACGACGACGACGGCGACGACGACGACGACGACCCGGACGACGGCGGCGGGCCGGGCGCGAGCGTCAGCCCGCTCACCCTGGGCACCTACGTCAAGCTGTGCTACTTCACCCGACTCACCGCCCAGCGCGTCCGGCGCTCGCGCCGCAACGCCGCCGACCACACCGAGGACTCGTACGAGGTCTCCCCCTTCACCCTGAAGCCCTGCGACATGCACACGCCGCACTGCCTCGTCGAGCTCGTCGACATGTGGTCGCTGTGCGACCGCTTCCACGACGACCTGCTGCTGGGCAAGGTCTCGACCGCCATCCGGGAGACGCTCGACGTCGGCGCCGGGAGGCTGGGCGACGCGCAGTGCGCCGAGTGGTGGGTCTTCAACTTCGCCAACGGCCACGCCGCGCTCGAGGGCCTCCACCGCCGGGAGGACGACGGCGTCGACGGCCTGCTGCAGAGGCTGAGGGACCTGTTCGTGCAGAACTGCCCGCCGGCGTCGTGGGAACGCCTGGCGTGCCAGCTGCCGAGCGGCTTCGTCGTCGCCATCTCCATCGCGTTCCAGAAGAAGATGGCGGCGCTGGTGGCCAACGAGGCGGCCATCGCGAGGGTCAACGGCGCGAGCCTGTGTTACGAGTGCAAGACCAGGGTCCAGACCGCCTTGAAGCGATGAATGCAGAGCCTGTTGGGTCCCTATTTCGCCCATGAGCATAACCCGGACTCACGTGGATAGATGGCTTGTGAAACCACACCGCGTCTTGCAAAACCATGCAATGCGATGAGTAACTACTGTTGGCCCTGTCTTCAATCATCTGCATCGGGAATAGGGGAGGGGGGAGGGGGGACTTGTTTAAAAAAAAACAAAAAAAAACCTTTGACACCTGTTGCTTTTCGTCTGTCTGGAACGCATTCGATCTCTCTCTCTCTCTATATATGCAGCCATGCCAATCTCCTTCCCTTCCCCCCCAAGCCCCGCCATATGCCTTTTTGGTGCCCGCCCGTCTAGCTCATAGCGCAGTGAAGTGCAATAATGTGTACATGCCCGGCGCCTGCCACGACGCAAGACCTAAAACAAAGAGAATTGCCGAGTATTGTTTGCCGTCCGCCAGGCGGAGATATTGTACAAGGGTTTGTGTGGTATGCTGGGAGAATCAGAGGTGCCACTTGGGAAGCTCGAAGGCTCTGTCCTTCGGCCAATTCTCCGTCCTGTTGGAGGAAATGAGTTAGCAACAACACAGAGGGTGCAAATCCACTCAGGGGAATCTTACTTGGTGGTCAGCAAGACCGTCATGCGTTTCCTCCGCTCCTCGGTCTCTTCCGCATCAACGAGACGCAGCCACTGGCCGAGCAGCTGCCTTAACTCGTCGTCCCCGCGACCTCTGCAGTCGATGCCGCGCTCGGCGCACGCGATGCGCACCTCCAGCTCCTCCAGGCCGGCCGGGCCGCCGTCGCGCGCCAGCAGCCTGTCGTCACCCTCCAGGAACGCCATCCGCAGGCGGCCCTTGGTCGCCCAAAGCCCCGGCGGGAAGAAGCCGAGCTTCTCCCACATCATGCCGGGCACGTGCAGGCTGCGGAGCACATGCTTCTTGGCCGCCGCTTGCACCATGCCCGACACGACGCCCTGGGGCGCCGCCTTCTCGAACTCGATAAAGGACTTTTGACGGCGCTCCTCGGCCTGCTTGAAGCTGGCGTCGATCTGCTGAGGCAGGCGACAGGTGTAGGGCACGACGCCGTCGACGAAGATGACGATGAGCGGCGTGAACTCCCCGCAGACGAGGAGGACCAGGCCGAAGAGCGGGACGCGGAGGATGTCGTGGCGCACGCGCCAGAGGAGCATCCAGTCGGCGCGCGAGAAGCCCTTGGGGATGAGGCCGGGCGTGAAGACGGAGGGCGAGCGAAAGCCCTCGACGGAGGCGCTCTTCTCAGCGATGGTTTCCTGTATCAGACGGCGGTTGGAGAAGACGGCCTTGAGGCCCGTCTTGTAGAACTTGATGTAGGCCTTGCCCGTCTGGAAGAGGTGGCCGATGGTGGAGGAGTCGGGCTTGCGCTCGGGGAGGTCCAGGGGCGCCGGGCGCGTCGAGGCCGGGGGGTTGACTTTGGCGCTCGGGACGGGGGGCGAGGGAGGAGCAGCGGGTTCGGTGGCGGCGGCGGAGCTCGCCAGGCTGCGATAGGGAGTCGCTGTCCTCGCGAAGGCGGAGAGGAGGAAGGGTGAGCGGGCGGAGCTTGCGCAAAGGCGCGAAGACGGGACGCGCATTGCGCGAAGCGTCGTGCTGTGACTCATCGCATGAACGTATAGGGGTGTGATTATGAGGAGGGTTCTGTTGTTAAGAGGAGGAGTCTGTTGTTGAGAAAGGAGGAGGAGGAGGAGAGGGTGATGAATCAGGGTCGTTGTCGGAGTCGTGAACAGGGTGGCCGTGGCGGGACAGGTATGGAGTGTTACCGTAATCGATTTGTACCTAATTAAACGAAAAAAAAAAAACCGAAAAAAAAAGAATACCTAGGAAAAAGTACCAATTGGTGCCGTCACTGATTGATCACCTCTACGGATACTACTAGCCTATGGAGTACCTACTACAGCTTCCTTATCGCTTATCAGACCTCGTCCCTTGCGTCGGCCCCACCTTGCACCCTTCCACCACCCGCCGTGTCGGGTTCGGGAGAGCGGCCCCCCCTTGGCGTTGGTTTTTTTTTATAGCAATTGGACGTCCCAATTGGTTGTTGGAAATGGTTCCCTGGCGATCGATTGAAATGGGGGTAGGCATGGATGGCGACGGGCACTCGCTTCGTATGCGACGAACGGAATTGCCGTTCTTGGTTCCGGCGTGTCGGAGGAGTCCCGGGCAAAGAGGATTGACTCACTTACAGGTCGTGTGAGTTTCCGTTTTACTGGCAATCGGGACGGCGAAAGAGAGGGGCAATGCAGTCAAGCATGGCGGATATCCACATCCTGCATCAGGTCACCCACGCTTCAGATTCCCGGACCGAAAACCACGACTTCAATTTTGATACATCGATACATGACTATTCCCATCCGCTTCAAGAGCTTTGTTACATGCATCAGACTCGGTTGTCGATTCGGAACGTGTTACCCGCAACCAACCAACCAATCGCTTCCGTCAATCCCAATCCATGTGTGGGTCATCGGAATGCATCATAATGCAAATGTTTGCCACATCGGCCAACCAAGTGAGGCTTAGCCTCAATCTCCCCTTGGTGTAGTTGGTTCATCACGTTCGACTGTAATGGTTACATTGTCATCGAAAGGTCTCTAGTTCGATTCTGGAAGGGGAGAACTTCCGTTTTTGTTTTTGGCCTTTTTCATCACGCTGCTTATGGTTCGCATTTCTTACGTGGTGACAGATTGTTTTGGTTTTTGTTTCGGTTACACACTCATTCCTCCGCGCTCTGCCTGAACCACCTTCGGAACTAACCCACACCACACAGCCTGGTCCTCGGCCCGCCTCCCATAATCCGCCTGGCTCCGGTCAGCTGTGAACTGTCCTTGAAGCAGTCGACGAAGGAGCGGGGGCGGCGGCTGGTGCTCGGACGACATCTCTTTTGCGTGGTTGTTTGTTCTGGCGGCAAGGCATCTATCTACATTGCGGTGCGCTGGGACAAAAGCCGGAGGTGGCAAGCTTTTGATCAGTCGGCACGCCGATTGATTGAAGGAGACAGCACCGGGAATCAATTCTTCTTTGATGATGGAAACAGTGGAGTATAAGACAACATGCCATGCGGGTTTGCTTTCACTTCCAGCCACATCCAGCTAGGACCATGGTCTCTCTCTCTCGGACACACTAAGATTTTCGACCCTATAGTCGTCATGACGACACACACTGCGATTCCAGAGTGACACTTACAAAAACTGTTGCAGGTCGGAGGGGCGATTGGGTTCGCCCCCCTTCGTCCGTGGGAAGACCATACTTGCCCCTTCGAGCCAACCAACGCACGGCTGGCCGCACCGGGGGTTTTCGGTACGACCTCAACGGCGAGACCCATTCCCTCCCCCTCCTCCAGGTGATCTGCGAACCGCGCACGGGTTGATGGCTGATTCCACTCCGATGAGGGGAGTAGTTACAGGTACACATGTACCTAGTCTCTTGAGGCTGCGGGCGCGAGCGGGAAGATGCTCGACCGGGAGAGAGAGCCACGGAGACGGGGCTTCTATTATGCTGGGACACCGGAGAAGCGCATCAAGGTTTCACCACGGAAGGGAGGGACAGGAGCACTTGGAAGAACCCTTTCCCCGGCGGCCCGGCTGTGAAGCGTTAGGAGGGAAACATTTGATTGCCTGCTGACAAAAAGCGGACCCTGACGAAACCAAACGGGGAAAAAAAGAAGAAGAAAAAGCCCCCGCTCACCGAGTCTTCACCGGCGGGGGGGATCTGACGTGATTGGGCCGAGAGATTTCAACACACATATTTCCATCCCTCTGGTATCGAGAGTCGCCCGCCCGCCATCGCACTCCGTCCTCATTTGGAGAAACACCAACAAGTCGCGTCTTCACAGGGATCGCCAACCATTCACGCCTCATACTTGGATTTCAGATACTTTGGCCCATTCCAATTTCCTCATTCCATTCTTATTTTCAGTTTTATTTTCTCTCTTCCAATTTTTGTTTTATTTTACCTTTTTTTGTTTTTTTAAAGCCCATATATCCCCCCACCATTTCCCACACAGACGATCATGGTAATTACACAGACCTTCATGAGCCCTAGCCTCGTTCGTTGGTATACCGACACGTGAGTGACTCTCGAAAAATAATAGGTCCACGCCGACGCGTCCAACTTCGCCAACGGCGTCACCAAGGAGGAGGCCTACGAGCAAGTTCTCCTGCAAGCGGAAGGCCTCTTTGACGACCAAAGAAACTGGGTACACCCCCCCCTCCCCTTCTCCTTCTCACGCCTGCATCCTCAGGCTCCCTACTCGATATATCAACTAACATCTCACAGGTCTGGTAAGAACACCCCTCAAAATCCCCATCCTCCCAAACCAAGGGAAACACGCCAGAAAGAAAGGCAATGATAAAAAAGGGGAAGAGAACTTCACACACCCGCTCACACTCTCAACCCCCCACCCAGCAACCTCTCCAACGCGGCCTCCCTCCTCTGGCACGCCTACCACTCCCTCCCGCCGCCCTCGACCTCGGTGAACTGGGCCGGCTTCTACGTCCTCGACCCGCGCGCCGCCCCCGGCCGGCCCTCGCTCATCCTGGGGCCCTTCATGGGCAAGGTCGCCTGCCAGACCATCCCCTTTGGCCGCGGCGTCTGCGGCGCCGCAGCCGCCTCGCGCGAGACCCAGCTCGTGCCCGACGTCGACGCCTTCCCCGGCCACATCGCCTGCGACGGCGACAGCAAGAGCGAGATCGTCGTCCCCGTCGTCGCCCACGACGGCCGCCTCGTCGCCATCATCGACGTCGACTGCGCCGTCCCGAGCGGCTTCGACGACGTCGACCGCGTCTGGTTGGAGAAGCTCGCTGCGCTGCTGGCCAAGAGCTGCGACTGGTGAGGCGGAGTTTGTCTTTTTTTTTTTTTTTCCTTCTTTTTTCTATCTTATTTTTGTTTTCTCGTCGCAGACGAAGGAATGGACAAGGGAAGGGAGGGGAAGAGCGGAAGGAAACTTTACCCGAGGCCGGAAGATCTGGACCGGACTCGAACGGGCATCGTTCATGGGTGTGGCGCATCTAGGACAGAGATACACGCGGGTGCGGCCGAGGAGGCAAAATGTTAAAAGATGGATGATGGGGTATATGTCGTTTCATCAACGACTCATCATCAGGGGGTTCGACAGATGATCTCCAAGTAGACGAGGCCGTAGAAAAACCCGGCAACGGACATGACTCAACAAAAAATAAAGATTGAGCACGCTGGAGTCAACCTCCGCGCTTTATGACTAAATTTTTTCTTCAGTTTATGTCCTTCATTCACCCCATGAGGCTAAGAGATATATATTCCCCTGTCCGGTGTCCAAAACTCTCCCTTCCTCATTTTCTCCCTGCTGCCACGACCTACGAAAACACCGGGGTCGTGAAGAACATGTTCCCGTTTTACGTCGTCGCGTCGTGAAGCCGCTAGGCACATTTACTGCAGAGCCTTCTTGGCAAAGTTGGGCAGGATGAAGGCGGCCTTGTGGATCTCCGAGTTGTAGTACCTGCAGAGCTTGTCTTCCTCCTCAGGGGACCACTTGCGGAGGGGCTCCTTGACGTTGCGGCTGGGGTCCTTGCAGCAGACCATGAAGCCGATCTGGCCGCTGGGATAGGTGGGGATGGTGGTGTAGCCGTACTCGGCAACGGGGAAGATCTCCTTGCAGTCCTTCTTGAGCTTGCAGATGAGCGGCATGTGAAGCCACTGGTTCTCAGCTGTGCGTGATTCATCTGTTAGCTAGCCCTGGTCTTCACGGCACACTACAAAGGAAATGGCTTCCAATGAACATGGAGAGCGGAGAGAACCAAGACATTAGAGGTAGAAATAAAGGAAAAAAAGAAAATAGAGTCTCGAGCACACACGCAACGCTTTTCCGAGTTGTAACGACAAAGGAGATGGAAAAAGTGTATACTGGTGACAACCAAGGCTCGCCGGCCGCCACTAGGCGCAAAAACCGGGGTGTTTCACGGGTGGAATCGAGGCGAGGTCGAAAGAAGAAGAAAGAGGCAGGGCGACGTTGAGGCCGCCCTCGGCAATTCTCTCCTGGACCCGAGACTTCCTCGATCCCTCCCTGGCATCTCTGAACAATGGGAACGTACAACCTTGGGTACTGATGACACCGCCCTCCCGAAGGGCGTCGTGAAGGAGCTGGAAGTAGGGCTTCTCGAACAGGGACTCGGCGGGGCCCTCGGGGTCGGAAGAGTCGGTGATGATGACGTCAAAGGTGTTCTTGTACTCCTCGAGGAACTTGAAGCCGTCGCCGACGTGGGTCTTGGCCTTGGGGTGCTCGAAGCCGACGGCCATGTTGGGGAGGTACTGCTTGGAGAGGCGGATGACGGCCTGGGAGACCGTGTTAATAGGGGTGATGAGTTGTCCTCGTGGCTCAGCACGCAGTAGCATGCCATGTGATGGAAATTACCTCGTCAATGTCGCAAAGGATAGCCTCCTCGACGCACTCGTGCTTGACGACCTCACGGAGGACGCCGCCGTCACCGCCGCCGATGACGAGGACCTTCTTGGGGTTGGGGTGAGAGTTCATGGCCAGGTGGGTGATCATCTCCTGGTAGGAGAACTCATCACGCTCAGTGGCCTGGATGACGTTGTCCAGGACCAAGACCATGCCGTAGTCGGTGGACTCGAAGATGAGGACATCCTGGTACTGACTCTTCTCGTGGTGGACGACCTTCTTGACCTTGAGTGTCATGGCCTGGCCTGTGACGGGTCGTTAGCAGGCGGGCCATGTCACCAAACGAGGTCTTGGACTTACCAGGCCACATGTCCGAGATCTCACGGAACCAGCCATCTGTGGGTTATCCGACGGGTTAGCACAGTATCCGACGGCTCATCCCTTCTCATTCGGTTCTGCGGTGGGCCACTTCAGTCTGTCCGCTGCTGCCCCATCTGCACTGTCGATCCTAGAGGAGCGTCTTGTCCGGAAGGCCGGAACGGAACAGTGTGGCGACATGTTTCACGACGTCAAATTGGCACCTCAACAAGAGGCTATACACGAACAACAATCTGCGTGCAGGGGAGGACGTTTCTCCAGAGCAAGTGCTTAACCGAGATCAGTATGAAAGGATCGTGCATGGGTGCTCAGACGGTGGGGGGACTAGAAAGGGGCTGATAAGCCACCCGTCGATAGTCGCGGGAGGTTGTTGGTGATTGACGATCTTGCTGGATTAGGCAGGAGTGATCCGGTCTGCCAACGGCGCGACGCCATGGACGGGACGAAACGAGACGAGACGAGACGAGACGAGACCAGGCCAGAACAGACTACCTGGGCAACGGGACCGGTGGCCAGTGGCCGGTTGCGATGACCCATCTGCCGTAGCGCGGCGCGCAAGCCGAAGACGTTGGACAGCGGTGAAATCACATAATATCGTTGTACCAGGGCCCCTTGCGAAACAGGCGGCGACAAGAGTCCGGAGTGCGGGCAGCAGCAAGAAGCAGCCCCAGCGCAGACGTAGAACACAGAGAGATCCAGGGGGGGGGAGGAGAGGAACAAGCAGCAGGAGGTGGGAGTAAGAAGAGGACAGGAAGGATGATGGATGATGATGAGTGGACCGCACGAACCTTGAATGGTAGGATGGACAATTTCGCTCATTTTTGCGGTAGACGGGGGTTTGATAACAGGAGTCCCGTGTAGGTGGTGTAGATGTCGAAAGGTCGAGAGAGGCGCAGGCAAGCAAGACAGATGTCGCTGATGCAGACGCAGGAGTCGAGAAGGGAGGGGTAATATATGACGGAAGAAAGCCACGGCGGAAAAAAAGTAGTGTGAGAAAAAAAAGAAAAATCGCGCTGCCTTGGATGATCAAAAATAAGAATTAAAATGGATGGTGCTTTGACGTATTATGGTTGGCTTAGCGATGCGGGTGTGAATTGTGTGTGAGAAGGGAAAGCGGGTGCCCGCGCAAGAGTCAAGAGAAGGAAAAAAAAAAAAAAAAACAGGAAGAAAATTTTGTGGCTCCGGGGTGGCCTCGTTTTGAAAGTTGGAGAGAATGGGAAGAGACGATGACATGACTGGCCAGCCAGCCTCATTGAGTCGTCAAGATTCTGGACGGAGATCCATTCTTTCCCCTCTCTTCTCCTCCTTCCTTCTGCTTCTTCACCCCCAACTAACTGACTGCATGCATGCAGATGGCAGTTCCAGCAGCAGGATGTGTACTATGTAGTGTAGGAGCCTCTTCCCCTCTCTGTCAAAGTCTGTGTGTCGTGGGTCGTGGGTCTGTTGGTCGTTTTCCCCTCTTACCGGCAAGGCAAAAAAGAATGGTACCTAAACTAGGTAGGGTATACCATGGGGCATCATCGCATTGTCAGTGCGCGCGCACGTTGGGTCTCTGTGAGGCGCCTGACTCTAATCTCTAATCAGTCAGTAGGGGCATGGCTTTTTTTCTTTTGCCTTTTTCGCCTTTAGCTTGCCTGGCCACATCCGCATGCACAGCTCAGCCTGCGGTCTGCATGGGGCGTTATTCGTTTCGACACGACGGCAAAAGCTCACTTTCAGCCGCCGCGGTTCGATCTTGGTTCGTGATGGACGAGTACACCAATACCGCCAACAATCGCGAAAGGGGCACATGCTGGTCGATGCTGCGTATACACCAACGTACGATTAAGGTATACGGGGGTTTCAGGAGCGGAAACGGAATCTCTTTCGTCGTCATCATCAGGGTTGCGGCCCAAAGGCAAACAAGCAAAACCTCCCCGAGTGAAGTAGCGTAGGTGTGGCGTGTCTCTGCAGGAAAACGTGGCGAGCCAGGATCTCCATCTATATCCGCAAACTTATCTGGCTCCTGCCCTCTTTCATTTGTTCTTGCGCGCCTTCACTACAGCCTACCTAAGTAGAGGCAACAACGAGATACGTATCCAGGGCGGTCCCACTTACTTATCTGGGTAGGAAGGGCTGCACAGGCACAGAATCAAACACAAACACAATCAGAAAAGCACGACACGGTAGAATCGATCAAGTCATTTATTTACACGTATCCGTACATCGAAACCCGAAACAGGAACTCGGACCAGAAAGTCGACTCCACTTCCTTCGCCGGCAATCAACGGCGGGGGGGTGGAGGGCCGTCTTGTCCCGCCAGCTATCCAGATCCGTCTTCACGCGCGCCTCGGATGCGCATTACCCGTCATCGTGTACGGCTTTCCTTTGTTTTTTTGAGAAATGGAGCCTGAAAAGACGAGACGAGATGGAATGCGATGACGCCGTGGGTGGGATCCGGCCCGACCGGCCCGACCAGCCTTAGGTAGGCTCACGCATGACGAGGGAAGCCTCTTGGACTAGCTTAATACCCGAGATCCTGTCATAGTGTGGTTATGTTATTGTCTCGGAACATTCTTCAGCGGCAACTAGACGACAGAAACAAAACCTGTGGAGCGCCTACCAAGAAGTGAGTGGCCCACACTGCTACTTCCCGGTCGATGCGTCGGGCTTTCTTCTTCTCTTTTTCCTTCTTTTCTTTTTTCTTTTTCGATAGCAGCAGTGGGCCGAGACTTTCTGGCTGGCCGGCTATGTCCCTCGGGCTCCCACGACGCAGCATCGTTTCGTTTCGTCATGAGAGCCGCAACCGGCAACGACTTTGTTGTGTGTGCGCGAGGGTACACACAACACACAGCCTTGCGGAATGGCCTGGCCTCATGGTCCGAGCGAGTACTCAAGGTTCCTGCGGAGGTGCCACCGTTGGCTTGAGGCTCTGGCACAGACGGCCGCCCGCTTGCCTGCAGGCTGCAGCAAGTTTCGCGGTACGGGGTGTATAGAACGTCGGCGATTGTAGACGGCTTAAAACCCACCTAGGGAGGAGATCGATACCCGGAGCCCGGACGTGTTGGAATGTCGGTAGCAGTCGTTTTGGCCTGTCGAACGAAGCGAGCTAGCTATCCTTAATCCCTTACAGCTCTGCGACTACCATCCCTGTAGCTGTCATGCGTTGAAGGTTAGGATTGTGCGATGGAACAACTTGAAGCATCGCCGGGGTGGAGTGTTCGTTCCTGATGACTAAGATAAAAATACAGAGCTTTTCCCGTTGATAATGCGGAGGCTTTCTGGCGGCAGGCAAAGCCAAGCGTTCAAATTTTAATTGTTTCCCCCCCCCCCATCATCATAGGTTCGTTTCGTAGAATGAGACTCTGATGTACGGATACATACCTAGTAGGTAAAGTGATATGAGTCGTGTTTTTATATGGGCGTTGCAGTGGCATGAATCAGGGGGTGACATGCCTTTTCTCGGCGCGTTGGGCCAGGGTACCGCTGTTCGAAACCAAGGACCAGACCAGCATGACGCATGTTTGTGTGCAGGCGCATTGTAACGTATATACTGAGTACGCAGTACTACTCCATACGTATGGACATTAAACACATCAAGTGCGGGTGCGGTAGACTCACTTCTCGAGGGAGCGGCGGTACCTGCCATTGAAAACGGAAAGAGTCTGCAGAAGCCAGTCGGGAGCGACGGACGGAGAGCTAAGGCGGTGGCGAGCAGCGCTACGCCTGGAAACGTCCAAGGAGGCGTTGTCCAAGGGGGGAGGGGGGGGTGTGGTTCCGCAAACAACAGTCTTGGTACACTAGCTGCGATCTTTGCCGGGCTTTGCTGGAGGGCGAGGCGCGCGACCTGGCCATAGCCGCGGGTTCGCGCACACGACAAGCGACGCACAGCTCCATAGGGCATTCCGGGAGAAAGGGCCCGATTGGGGTGGTGTGGGTGGCGATCTGGTATTGCGCAGGGGTCCGATATGCCTTGATGCTACCGTAGATATAGCCTGTAGGTAATTACCGGTATTCGTACTGCACGGAATACGGAGACGGTCCATGTCAGGAGAATGGAGACGGCAAAATGAAGGCTCGAAAGGGGGTCCAATGGTTAATGCACTGACCTTGCACGCAGAACCAACATGGTTGAATCGTGCATGGCGAGCCGCGTGCCTGATGGGTGGCAGGCAAGAACTCTCGAGGTTTTGAGTTCCAAACATATCGCGATGAAGTCGAATGAATGAACAAGGCCATGTGTCATGACGTTCCGGCGAGTACCTATTCTACCTACCTACTCGGCCACTGCATCGTAGTGTACCCCTGTGTCGGAAAAGAATGGGCTGCATGCATCTGGCTTGTTTGTTTGCTTGTTTGTTTGTTTGCCATGTGCCAGTTAGCCCGTGGCGGCTTGCAGGCTGCGTACGCACTGTTGGAAAACCGGCCCCGACCAACCACTAAGCAGCATGCATGCGCAAACCACAGAAAGTCGCCAACGATGATGAATGGCTTCCTTCAAAAGCATGCCCGGCCTGCCTAAAGGAGCATCGTCCTGTTGCAGATGCTTCGAGGTGGCTGGGGGGGGGGAGGTGAATATTAGTCACAATGTCTGAACCGCTCGATGCGTGTAGGTCCTTTATTTTATTTTTATCCGCACCCGGTGCACAACTAGAACGAGTCGTTGTCCTGGCATGACCGAGACTGATTTGAGGGAGTTACAATTGACTGGTAGTAGCTAAGCTTGGTGATAGATGGGATGTCTGATGTTTGTTCCCCAGGAGGAGATTGCTCACCCCACCTATCTAGGTAAGGAAATGTCCGTATACCTACGTGCGGAGTACTACTGTATCAACATAGTATGTCTAATACCGTAGGGCAGGGCAGGGCAGGGCGTCGCCTAATGGAAGGTTGTAGTGAGGTGCGTGGTGGGATGCGGGAGCCACGGGGAACTGGAAGTGGCTTGCCCCGGGGACCGACTGCATGCAAGTACCAAGCACTGATACCCACCCATTCGTACCTGTCAGGTGCCTCGAAATGCGTTTCTGCGGCATCAATCCTCAATGCTTTCCTCTTGTGGGCGGGACTCAAAAGGTCGGAATATGTATTCGTATGTACGTAGGTAGAGTACACGTCGGTAGGTACTAGATAGTATGTATCCGTATGCCTGGTCTCCTTTTCTACGATCTACCTGTGGGCACCTACACTACCTACAATGCCACCCTGTATATTACATTACATTACATTACTACCCAAGTAATTACCTACCTAGGCTCCAGGTATCGTCATAAAGAGGTCGGGTTAGGTACCGACAGTCTGGCCCGAAGAGCGCGGTTCAATTTGTTGCTGCTTCCAGTCCCGGCTCTAGTCAAGGTACCCATTGTTCGTCACGCCGCCTATACGGATACTTCTGTGCCCATCCAACACGGTAAGTCATGCCAACTCTGTTTATCCTCAGTTCCTTGCCCGAGCCGTCGCAGGGAGCCAGGCACACGTATGCCCGAGACCGCAACTCGTACCGATTCACACTCATCGGTGGAAACGCCAATAGGCCAGGTGCGAGGTTAACATTCGTAGGTCGGTATTCGTAAACTGCATCGTACCTACCTACGGAGTACTGCGAAGTACTATATATACTCTAGGCATTTATGCGCCGGCGGCCCACCACTTCTTCCGGTAGGTACGGATACAGCGATACACGTACCGAGTAATTCTACGGGTAGGGGTCCGTAGACGACCTACCTACATCATGGGTAGGTATCCGTACCGTACTGTACATTCCTACCAAAACTAGGCTGGGGAACCCTGCCTAGTACTCGTGTGTACACCTACGCTTCACATCGTCGTACCCTGTCGACCTAGGGCAGGGGGCCAGTGGGGGCTTCCTTCAGTGGATAAGTCGCGCATGCATACTACACGCATGCTTCTCTTCTCCTCCTGTTCTCATTCTTTGTTGAATTTTTGCTCTTCGCTTCGCCGTGGCGCTTCCCCGTCCCCTTCTCTGAGGCTTCCATCTTCCCTCATTCTCTCGATTCCCACCTTTGGACAGAGAGAGAACCAGACAGACGAGACCCATCACCTCTTCTTCTTCTTCGTCTCGCCTCTCGCCTCTCGTCTCCTCCTCCTCCTCCCCCCTACGACTCCATTCATCACCCCTCATCGTTGTCGCCACCTTTTTTCTTTCTCCGTTTGTTGTGCGCTAGCACATTAGTCTTTCCACTGACACGCCATTGGCCTCGCCTAGCAGCCAATATAAAAAAATAAAAAATAGAGAGAGCCCTGAAGGAAGACTAACACAAGCATTCCGCAGCCCACCAAGGCGTCCGTCCACTACGGGCGTCCCCCAAAGATTTCTAGCGCCTTTCTTGTTCCCTCTCCCCCGGGATTGTTGTTCCCGCCTCTCGCTCCTTTCGACTGTGGACTGCCTACGGGCACACCCCTTGGAGGGTACACAACCGACTAGGTAACGCGTAGCCGTGTGTGGGACTTCTCAAACCGACAAAAGCTTCCTCCGCCCACCACCACTCCATTCTTCAACCCTCACAACTAGACCGGCATTCTTCCACCACGCCCAACTCCTTGTCTCTGATTCTCCGCCGCATACTCCAGGCTTGATACTGCACCGCGCGATCCTCGCCGGCCCTTTCCGTCGTCTTCCTCCTGGCCCGGCTGTCCTTGGCTTTCTCGTCCTCGTCCGATCTTCCTGCCGTTCAACTAAACACCCTCGGACCATTGCGAGACCACGCACTTGCTCTCTCTCCCTCTCGACACCAATCCCCCGAAACCTTCCTCACCCGGCCTAGGTAGTCTCCTCGCATTTCTTATTCCGCCTTGCTTTCGTCTTGGCTCCTCCTTTTTTTCATCTTTTCTTCTTCCTCTCCTTCCACTGGTCTGGTCCGCTGCCGTCACTGAGCGTCTTCCACCGACCCTCTGTCCGCTGCAGAGAGGAACCGCATTCCTTCTGTCCTCTCCAACTCTTCGACGCCAACCCGCTCGGCTTCAAACCCGCCCCAATCACTCTTGCCGATCAACCATATCCAACAAACAGCACCATGTGCTTCGGCGCTCGAAAATCAGACGATGGCGGCGCTGTTCGCTCGCGTGATCTCGACCGTCTCATTCGACAGGATGAAAAACGTCTTGCAAAAGAAGTCAAGCTTTTGTTGCTAGGTATACCGACACGAATATCCGTTCACCTTGTAATACCTGCCGGGCCCCTCACTGACTCGTACTCACTCGACAGGCGCCGGAGAGTCTGGGAAGTCTACCGTGCTGAAGCAGATGAAATTGATTTACGCCCAAGGTTTCAGCAAGAACGAGAAGCTCGAATGGAAGCCCGTCGTGTTCAACAACATTGTTCAGTCCTTTCGCTTGATCCAAGATGCCATGACCGAGATGGGTATCGATTTCAGCAACCCCGAAAATGAGGCAAGCAGCCCTTCCCCCTGGCACGGCCAATCGCATGTAGCAAGCATGCGAGAACCCGCGACTGGTGCAGACAACGAATCGAACGCCCTGGCTAACACATGATTGTCTCGATGTAGAAGCACATGGCGCATATCCTTGTGGAACACGAGATCAACGCCCAAGATCCCCTCCCGCGCGACTATTTGCAACCTATAAAGGAGCTCTGGGTCGATGAAGGTGTCAAACAAGCTATTGCCAAGGGCAACGAATTTGCTCTCCATGATAACCTGGCATAGTGAGCATCCAGACTCGTACATGCGTGATGCAACAAGTGGTCACTGACTCATCTAGTTTTTGCGACGACTTGGACCGCATCTGGGACCAGGCCTACGTACCCACAGACCAGGATTTGCTGCGCTCGAGGTTGCGAACCACTGGTATCACCGAAACCGTTTTCGACCTGGGCCAACTGACATACCGCATGTTTGACGTTGGCGGCCAGCGTTCGGAACGAAAGAAGTGGATCCACTGCTTCGAAAACGTCAACTGTCTGCTTTTCCTCGTCGCGATTAGTGGTTACGACCAGTGCTTGGTCGAAGACAAAGATGGCGTACGTATAGTATATCCATGTGACGCTTCCCCTTTCCGAGCTGACCAGACGTCGACCAGAACCAAATGAACGAGGCGCTCATGCTGTGGGAGTCGATTGCCAACTCTCACTGGTTTACAAAGTCTGCGCTCATTCTCTTCCTTAACAAGATGGATCTGTTCAAGGAGAAATTAACCAACAACCCCATTACATCGCATGGCTTCACTGACTACCACGGCCCTCCCGATGACTGGAAAGCTGCCAGCAAATACTTCCTAGACAAGTTCCGCGCCTTGAACCGGAATACCGAGAAAGAAATTTACGGACATTTCACCAATGCGACGGATACGAATCTGCTCAAGATCACCATGGGCTCAGTCCAGGACATGATCATTCAACGCAACCTGAAGCAGCTGATACTATAAGGCAGAGCCTGCGATAATTGGGGCCGTCAAGTGGCCCCAGACCAACCGACCTTGTCGCCCCAATCTGGCATGCTTGAAACATGCCAACTCTAATCGATACCCGCGGCCTTCTTCGGCCACATTCCCTACCTCACCTCGACCTCACGCGGCGACAACACCACCACCACCACCCATTCACGACTTCTCGCACCTTGTCGTAGGATTGCGGGCGCACCCTTGCGCACCAACACGACCTTCTTGTCGCAAATACCGAACGAGCCCGACGAGGCTCTCGAAGCCGACATGGATGTACATTACTCTGCTTCCTTTGTGTTCTAATTCCTCGTTATCTATTATCCATATTGCCGGCGTTGGTCTCGACAGAGGTTCTGCAAAAGGGCGGCTGAAACACTTTAGCCATTTATTTATTTATTGCTTTTTTTTGGGCATCGTGGGACGGATGGCCCACGCGTGGCGTACGGCCAATGCGAGAGCAATGCGCTCTGATTAGTCTTTGCTTCGATCCTCAAGGGCGAGATCGAGGCTGGTGGTAGGAGGGCGGTGCTGTCGCAAAAGGTGCTTCAAATGAGACGAAACGAAAGCATAGGAGAGGCCGGGGTGAATTGGTTTTGCTTGCAATGGGTTGACACAAAATCACTTGTTTCAGGCTTTGTCGCCTACGTTTTGGGTCAAGAAAGATGTGTGTGTGTGTGTGTGTGTGTGTGTGAGGGGGAGAGAGAGAGAGAGAGAGAGAGAGAGAGAGAGTGTGCGTGTGTGTGTGTGTGTGTGTGCGTCTGTGTGGCCAACACTGCGAGGGTGAGAGAGAGGCACGTGCAACGGCTGTGAAATCGGCATCTCTCCTCTCCATCCGAAATGGGTGGCGGAACGGCACACTGGATAAAACATGTTAAAATCATCTAAAGAGCGAAATACCCATATGGGATAGGATAATACTGCCTGAAGAAACCTAATCTTGCTGCTTGTCTTATGCGTGAGAGGTGGGCATTTACTCAATAACATGCGACTGTGGCGCACATGTGGCATTTTCCCAATCCGAGAAGACAAGGCTGGATGGGGGGGGGCCAAGAGAAAAGGGATTCAGACCGCCTATCCGCGGCTTTATTCAACCCCCCTCCTCACGGATAGGGATCTCGACGGCGGGCTGTCATTGTTTCAGCAGAGCCTCTATTCCGCGCCCGCCCCGCGTGGCCAGGTAGGCTCACAGGGCGCTTGTTGCACGTTTCAGTCCCGGGGCTGCGAACGGACGAACTTGGAAAACGTGTGCGAGCAAAAGGGCGGCCTTGGCGACGAGGCGGAGGTGATGGAAAGGAACCGACGGACCTTGGCTCGGCCCTGTTTTAGGTGGGGGGGAGTGTTTTTCTCTAAATCTATTTTACCCCAGGTACACATAGATCAGAACTGGTTTTATACGATTCCTCGATTTCGCCCGGTTGACTGGGCCTGTTGGTGGTGCGAGCTGAATTTGTAGGATGGGAGGGTGACTGCGACACTGAAGCCAGATTAAACGTGATTGAGCGGTTGGAAAATGGACGGGGAAAATATTAAAAAAAAAAAACAGTAGAAAACAGAGACATTGAGTAGGAGCAGTAAAACGTGATGACAAGAACTCGAAAAGGCGTGCAATGTGTGCTGGCCAAGAACAATAGGGAGGGCCTAAAATGCCGATCGGACCCGGTGAGATCGGCCCAATTTCCCGATGAAGTGCGTCGGGCAATTCGGCGCCCCCCTTGGTTTCACCGCACTGTTCAGATACGGCAAATATACTGGTGTCAGCACCGTGTGCAAGTCTTTCCTTAGCAGCCGAGACCCCGACAAGGATGAGCTCCGATTGCGAAGCCGTTGTGCGGGCAAAGCTACCCCGCCATTGGAGCCATTCCCACCCCACCATACATACCCCATTCCCGGACTTCCAACGTCGCCCGATCCGCCGCCTCCCCCCCCCCCCCCCCCCCGCCACATCTGCACAACCACTGTTTAAGCAATGCGCCTCGCCCTACAAACTCTTCGTACTCTGACATCCTCCATCCTCAAACCTTCCGCGCCCCGCCTCGTTCCCTCTCGCAAGATGGCCACTTCCACCGTCGCCTCCCCGGTGCTCAAGAAGCCCGTCAAGCTGGCCTGCATCCAGCTCGCCTCGGGTGCCGACAAGGCGGCCAACCTCGCCAACGCGCGCGCCAAGGTCCTCGAGGCCGCGCGGGGCGGCGCCAAGATCGTCGTGCTCCCCGAGTGCTTCAACTCGCCGTACGGGTGCGACTACTTCCCCAAGTACGCCGAGACGCTGCTCCCCTCGCCGCCAACGCGCGAGCAGTCGCCCAGCTTTCACGCGCTGGCGGCCATGGCCACAGAGAGCGGCGCCTACCTCGTCGGCGGCTCCATCCCCGAGCTGGACGGCAAGACGGGCAAGTTCTACAACACGAGCCTCGTCTTCTCGCCCGCCGGCGCGCTGCTGGCGACGCACCGCAAGGTGCACCTGTTCGACATCGACATCCCCGGCAAGATCACCTTCCGCGAGTCCGAGGTCCTCAGCCCCGGCGACTCCGTGACCGTCGTCGACCTGCCCGAGTACGGCCGCATCTCGGTCGCCATCTGCTACGACATACGCTTCCCCGAGCTCGCCGCCATCGCCGCGCGCAGGGGCTGCTTCGCGCTCGTGTACCCGGGCGCCTTCAACCTGACGACGGGGCCGATGCACTGGCGGCTGCTGGGCCAGGGCCGCGCCGTCGACAACCAGATCTACGTCGCCATGTGCAGCCCCGCGCGGGACGTGTCCGCGTCCTACCACGCCTGGGGCCACAGCCTGATCGTCGACCCGATGGCCAACGTGCTGGTGGAGGCCGAGGAGGGCGAGGCGACCGTGGCGTGGGAGCTGGACGGCGACAAGATTGAGGAGGCGAGGAGGAACATCCCCATCAACACGCAGAGGCGGTTCGATGTGTATCCGGACGTTAGCCAAGCCAAGGTCGACGCGTAAACAAGGGCGAGGAGCCGGGATGGTCTGTTTGGAGCCGAAGTACACCCCACCCTTTCCCCCTCAAGGCACACATAGAAGAAGAAGAAGGAGAAGCAGAAGAGGAAGAGGGGGGGCGGTATTGGTGTTTGGAAACCTTGCATGTATATCACTGTGCTACCCATATAGAGCCAGCGTGGTATCGTTCTTTTTTATGTAGTCGGGAAAGTCTATTTCCCCGCGCAACGTCGTCGCACCAGTTTCTGTTCCCGAGAGCCTCCATGTCCCTCATTTCTCAGCCCCCCCCCCCCTCTCCCGGTTGGCGTTGTTTTCTCCGCGGCCTTGGCAGGATGCAATGGCCAAGACAAAAAAACAGCTCCCAGACGGGGAGGTGGGACGGGGCGGCGGCGCGGATTCCCGGCTTTTTTACCCTCGACTACCGCCGTCCGATGCGGTCTTCACAGACTCTGAAGGGTGTCGCCGCCATCGGAAAGCCAAGATTCAATGTTGCCCCTTTTCGTCTCGTCAAGGGTCCGTTTCGTATCGCACGGCGGGCTCGCCCGTCCGTGTCTGCACGTACGAACCGACAATCGCTCGACACCACTGCTCCACGCACCCTCCTTGACTCTCCGCAGCGAACTGGTCTTCTTCTCTCCCGACGCTTCCCGATCCACGACCGTCGATTCCGTGCTCGCACTTGGAAAGCCGCGGGTGCCCGGCCGGGAACAGACGGGCACAGCTTGGTTCAACAGCAGAGGGCGTGGCTGCCAGATCCGGCACACATGATACGTCCTAATCTCGCAGTCATCCCCCCCCCCCCCCCCCCCTTCTCCTTGCCATAATCCACTTGAGAGCACCAGTTCTGTCGGCGATCGCATTCATGGCAGTGAGGACCTGATGTGAAACACCGCACTAACGTCGAGTATGGTGCCAAGGATCGGCGCTGCCGCTCAAATTTACTCTCATTGTCACGTTCAGGTGGGAAGGGACCCAGATCGACCATGTGACCGAGAAGCGTCTGTACGTTGGCTCCGGATAATAGCCGCAGCTGGCTCATCTAGTTATCAACGTTATGTAACGCGCCGCATAGACTAACGCCCTCTCTCCCCTGAACGCGGCCTCACCCCGCTTTTATAGGCTTTTTCGTCCGTCAGCGCGAACCATCTTTCCTCCAAAGGAACTAGCGACTAGCGATACTGGCGGCACTGATCACCGTCTCCCGGGGCTTCAAACCAGCCTAGCAACACGTCACTTCCGACAACTCTGTCTTGAGCCCATCCAGTCTCTCGGCTTCTGTCGCCGCCTCTGCCGTCAATGCAGCCAAACAAACGAGCCCCCCTCCCTCTCTGTTTCCTCGACGACGTCCACAGCCTTGACGATCCCCTCATACCCTCGGTCCTTTTCCAATATTGCTAGATTCCCTGGGCTCCTCGCCGCGGCCTCATCGAGAGAGTACAAAGCCTGGGGGAGACACGAATATGCGCAAGCTGGGACGAGCCAGAGAACCGCTGGCAGCTGACGACGGTCTTTTGATCAACTGACCGGGCGTATGACGATGCGCTGGACCCAAATGATCGTCTTCCGAGTTTGCCAGCAGTCTCTGCAGGGCCATCTTCTGATGCAGAATGGCTTTGATGAGATGTCACCTGGCTCGACCTGCAGAAGGAGCTACATCCGCCCGCACTCGAACTCCCTCATAACTCATCAGAGACAGACCACTGGCGCATCCCCCCCCTGGCAACATGAATGAGAAATCTAGTTCATTTGACGTAGTACAGACTCTCAGGTTCCAATATTGGGACCTAAAAAAAGATACAAGCTAGCATTCTCCTTTGAGGAACGTGCGTCTGCACACCTAATATCAATGACGGCCAGCCAGGCCGCTGTCATACACACACACACCGCCTGACTCCGGCACCGTCATGGCAAGACAGACACAGCTTGGCCAGAAAAGAGAAGAAGGAGAAGAAAAAAAACGCTCACAAACCCTCGCGCTCCACGGCCACGTACATGGAAAACAGACAACACATGACAACCCACCGGCATGGGGTACCTGCATTCCTTGCACCTCGAAATAGCCTTCTGTCAAAAAGGGGTGGGCACAGCTCAGCAGTTCAGCTCCCCCCCTTGGCTCTTCCTGCATGATCCCCGCAACAGTGCACCACCACCACCACCACCACCCTTGTCACCCCGAAATCTCGGTGCCTAGAGAGCCCCTGCTTAGAACAAGCAAAATTACCTGCAGCACGAGATAGTTAGAGTAGCCTGTCTCCACTCGAGTCGACTATTGACACTATGGGTAGCCAAAGGAGAGGTGAGAGGTCAAAGGGCTTCCGCCAGGGCCAGCATGAGAAACCCGGGATGCCATGTGCAATTTTACAAATCTCACATAAGCTCGGTATTGGCATTCGACGAACCCGTCTAGACCGTAGCGGGTCGCCTTGCCCACCAATCCTTGGTTCTGGGCCGAGCTTGAACCTTTGAACCCTTGAGCGGGTTGGGCGATTATTCATGGACGCGCAGAACGGGTTATCCAGGGGTTGAGCTATTTTCTTTTGTCTACATCCTTCGGCCGGGGGGGGGGGGGGGCATGCTCCCAGATACACGTCATAACCGAAACTGAAACAGAAGTTGGATCAATCGGAACGACCGGGTCAATCATAGGATGCGCCACAGTTAGTGGAGTCGTAACAAGTGCAACTAGCCCCTGTGTGGTTCGCTTGACCGCTATGCGAACGCAGAAAGAAGCGGTCCCTCCCAGACCCCGAAAACCTTATGTCAACCTTCAGAGCTTGACGTGGAGCTAACCGTGAGTTAACCCGGGGTAGTGTAACAGGCCTCCGCCGCGTGGGAGCTTCGGCGTGGTATTTAATTTGTTAACTCAGTAATAGTTACGTAGGACAATTGGCAGAACACTTCAAGCAAAAAAACTCACAGCTAAAAGGATGTTGTCCATTTGATACAGAACAGTCGTGTAAATCAGGCAATTCGGGCTATCCGATTGGCGAGTAGTCCCAGAATATCCCGACCTCACTCGTTTTGACATATGTCCGCTCTAATACCGGACGTAGGCCAAAAGCATCCCGGGGGGGGGGGGGGGGGGGGGGGGGCACGATGATTGCTTTTGATGGCGGGTGAGCAGGCAGCAAAGCTTCACGGCCTTGCATGGACATAAATACCCGGGGCTGCGCCGCTTTCCCAGATCGTGAGAATAGAGGCTCCCCAGCTCCAACCGGCCCGCAGAGAGAGGACAAGAAGGAAAGCCCACAATGAAGCTGCTCCCCCTCCTCGCCGTCCTCGGCATCGGGGCCGTCGCCCAACCACTCGAGTCCCGACAGACGTGCTCCGGCCCCGTCGAGAGCAACCCGTCGACCTGGTGGCGCGCCGCCATTGGCCACAACGGCACGGCGCCGACGAGCACTGACTCGACGTACCAGTACTACCGCACCGCGGTCCAATACGGCGCCGACAACACCGGCGTCCAGGACTCGTCCGACGCCTTCAACTTCGCCATCGAAGGTATGTGCACCCTCCTTTCTTGCACTCGGGGGAGCGTTTGGCGGACCAAGGGAACACGCGAATCGACTAACAACCGGCGTCCTTCCACCCAGCATGGAGCCGCACCGGGAACACCGTGACGACCCGCCCGGCCTACATATACATCCCGCCGGGCCGGTACCGCATCAAGAAGCCGATCCAGATGCTCGTGACGACCTACCTCGTCGGCGACGCCCTCAACCCGCCCGTGCTGATCGCCGACCCGGCGCTCGGCAACCAGCCCGTCATCAACGGCTACGACTCGCACCAGGGCGACGGGTCGGCGACCAAGAACTTCTACATGGCGGTGCGCAACGTCGTCGTCGACACCACCGAGATCGACACCGGCGTGCAGGCCGTCGGCATCGACTGGAGCGTCTCGCAGGGCTGCTCCCTGTCCAACGTCAAGGTCCGCATGCCCAACTACTCGAGCCACATCGGCATCACCATGAGCGCCGGCGGTTCGGGAATCTTGATCAGCGACAGTGTTAGTCTCTCCCCGTATTTCTTTTTTTTTAATTCTTGACGGGGGGGGTTTTTTTTTTCCTGTCCCCTTTCCCCCTTCCCTTCCCAAACGCCAGGAGCTGACGAACGGTTAGCAATTCGAGGGCGGCGCCATCGGCATCAAGGTCAACGGCCAGCAGTACCAGTTCAAGAACCTCTCCTTCAACGGCTGCAACGTCGGCATCTCGGTGGACCACGTATTTGTCGCCGTGGTGCAGGGCGCGACCTTTGCCAACTGCAACTTCGGCATCGACATGGGCGGCAACACGGCGGGCGTCGTCTCGCTCGTGGACTCGAGCGTCAGCGCCTGCAACGCCGGCGTCAACACCCGGGTGACGGGCTACGGCGAGAACTCGCTCGTCATCGACAACTTCCAGGTCACCGGCTCGACGGCCGTCAAGTCGGCGGCCGACGGATCGACCCTCAGGTCCGGCTCGGTCCCGGCGGGCCAGACCTGGGTCGTGGGATACGTCAACTCGAACAACCTGCAGGGAGGGACGACGTACCCCATCGAGCGGCCTGCCGCGCTGCTGTCCGGGAACAGGTACTTCACGGCGCCGCTGCCTCAGTATGAGAAGTACGCCCTGGATCAGTTTGTCAGCCTGAAGGGCGATCCGCAATTCCCCGTCTACGGAGACAACAGCCACGACGACGGCCCCAACATCAACGCCATCCTTCAGAAGTACAAGGGCTGCAAGATCATCTTCGTCCCCCAGGGCATTTACCTGACCAGGGAGACCATCTACGTGCCTCCCGGCACGAGGCTGATCGGCGAGACCCTTAGCATCATCAACGGTGCGTGTTTGGCTTAGACGCACGTCTGCTTCCGAAGAAAATGCTAACGCCGAACAGGCCTCGGATCGCAGTGGTGGAACCCCGACGACCCCCAGCCCATCCTCAAGGTCGGCAACCCCGGCGAGACAGGCATCGCCCAGATCACGGACATCACGGTCGAGGTGGCCGACGTGCAGCAGGGCGCGACTCTCGTGCAGATCAACATGGCCGGGTCGAACCCCGGCGACGTCGGCATCTGGAGCAGCGTCTTCCGCGTCGGCGGCACCAAGCACTCGCTCGTCAACACCAACTGCGGCGGCGCGGACCCGGGCGCCTGCAAGGCCGCCTTCGCGCTGATGCACGTCACCTCGACCGCCTCGGCCTACCTCGAGAACGTCTGGGGCTGGGTGGCGGACCACTCGCTCGACGGCGGCGCCGCGCAGAACATCGCCGTCGGCCGGGGCGCGCTGATCGAGAGCACCAAGCCCACGTGGCTGGTGGGCACCAGCTTCGAGCATTGTGTCATGTACCAGTACAACCTCCACAACGCGCAGAACGTGTACATCTCTCTGCAGCAGACGGAGAGCCCGTACTGGCAGGGCCAGGGGACGCCGCAAAGGGCCCCGGGCCCCTGGAGCGTGTTACCGGCCTACGGCGACCCGGACTTCAGCAACTGCGCGGCCCAGGGGCAGGGCAACAATGACCGTTGCTTCCGGTCGTGGGGCCACCACATGACGGGCAGCTCCAAGGTGGTGATCCACGGGTCGGCACTGTGGGTCTTCTTCAATAAGATGAACGACAACCAGTGGCAGAACGCGCAGTGCGAAAACACGGGGGGCAACTGCATGACGAACCAGGCCTTTGCCAACGGCGCCAAGTCGACGTACTGGTTCGGGCTGAGCAGCAAGAGCACCACAACTCTGCTGTACGACCAGACGGGCGGCGTTGTGTGGGAAGTGTTTGCGAGCGATAACACGGGGTCCTGGGGCGGCGTCCTTGCCGCGTATCTGAGGGACTCGGGCGCTTGAAGTGTCGTGGGAGCGGCTGGTTATGCGCTGACCCAAAGGGGGGGGGGGATCGATCGCTCCACAATAGATGCTCGTTCCGAACTTTAGACAGGGGCTGCATGTCCTGGTGCTAGCAGACGGGAGGAGGGCCGTGTCGATGTAGGTAGCAATATAGCGTGCTGTTAATACCTAGCGGTGATCGAGTCCGTAGTCGGACGAACTGTTAAAACGGAAGTCAATTAATCCATTCTTGTCAAACACCCTTCTTTGATTGCTGGAAGAGCCGAGGTCCCTTTGTCCCCGGCGTCGAGTCCTTTGTTACAGCGCATTACCGCACTCGGACTCGTTGTCGCTAGTGCTACCCGAACTGGCCAAAGAGTATGCTAGCATCGGTCTGCAGCTTGAACTCTCTGGGCTTCCCTCGGCTGCTGTCTCGGCTGCTGTCTCGACCGCTGTTACCCAGCCATGAAGTGACTCTCGGGGTTCACAGCCTTAGTAAGGTTAGTCACGATGGGGAACGCGGCCTGTGTAGTCGGTCGTAAGAGCCACGAAGGCACAAAGAAGATTTGAGACTGCCAAGGTGGAATGCGATTCGCCTATATGGCGGATTCCCAGAAGCTTGTTTGTATGCGACGAATGAAGTGGACGGGCGGGATCGTCTTGTCTTGCCTGCCGCGTTTTGTTCTGAGCTTCCACATGGCGCCTCGGCTTTTGCGAAACACGGTCGAAAGAACTGGGTTAAGATGGGGTAAATGTCAAGCTTGACCCAATACCTATACGGATACACAATAGCTGGAATGGCGCCCGTATGGGGATAGAGGCCCGATCCATGAGGTTAGACGAGATCGGCACCCAAAAAGGTAGTTGGGATCCATGGATCGTCGTAATCTGCCGGTGCTGGTGAACCACGAATCGAGACACGAAGCATATCGGATGGCTGTGGCGTCGACGACTGGTGTAGGTATTGGAAGCGGAGAACACGGATACAGCCAAGACAAATCAAGGTAGAATGGTAGGGCGGTCCGTAATGCATAGTAAGTAACATATTTGTATGGTACCTACCTACTTTAGGTAGTGGAGAATGAGAATTCCACAATCCAAGTGAGTGCGTGCGTGTTGGTGTCAGCGGCAAGCAATGGCAGCCCCCAGATGCGCCGCGTGTCTCCCGTGCTTGGCTCCAGCTTTCTTTCTCTCTGTGTGTCCGGATTCGGCTGGTTTTGGGGGGGCAGTTCCCCAGTGGGGCGCATTCCAGATTCCAGTGGTGAACTGAACTGGGTCCGGGGTTGCGCGCAATCCGCAGCAAACCAGACACACTCCCGCGTGTGTGGGGTTCCACTTGCGGGGGCACATGACGCTGAGCTAAATCGCCGAGGTTCACATGCGACAACTGAGCGTCATCCAGCTCTTGAGGGCACCTCTCTCCTACGCCTTTGTTCCTTACTCCGGCCGACACGAACACCCCAGCCTCCGACGCACGGTTAAACCGTTGACACCTTGCCGGTATTTAAACTATCCGACCATCCCTCGCGGCTCGGAAGTTTCTCGTGATCTCCTGTTTCCCAACATTAGTATTCATTCCTTCTACTTCAATTAAACAAAGTACCTTTTTCTCTCTTCTTCTTCCCTACTCAACAAACACAAGACAGTCATCATGGGTCTCGCCAACGGTACGTGCTTGCCATCCGGCTACCTCGGTCTTTCTTCCTTGTCCGTCGCCCGATGCTAATCACATGTTTCTGCAGACAAGTTCCCTTCCTCGGTCGCTTTCGACGCCATCAACGATGCGCTTACCGGCAGCGAAGACGACCGCAAGGACGCCATCAAACAGGGCAATGCCATTTTCGCCTTCAACCTGAAGAACTCGGCCGGCGAGACCGACAGCTGGCACATTGACCTCAAGGAGAAGGGTGAGGTCGGCAAGGGCACCGGCAACAAGCCCACCGGTACGTGTTTGGCCCAACCCACCATGCTATGGAATCTCAGTCTGATGTCTTCCTCCCAGTCACTCTGTCTCTGTCCGATTCCGACTTTGGCAACCTCGTCCAGGGCAAAGCCAACGCCCAGAAGCTTTTCATGTCCGGCAAGCTCAAGATCAAGGGCGACGTTATGAAGGCTACCAGGATGGAGAGCATCCTGAAAAAGGCGCAGACCAAGGCCAAGTTGTAGACGTGTCGCGTTGGACAATTTATTGTCGGTAATACCCTGTACCATAACCTACCAGTTGGATCAGCCGTACGTTGCTTGACCCGGATATGCGCCAAACGTAGCGTTGTCGTAGGCGATGAGAATATGACCATTCATCTAGCATGTTGGAACCCCGTCCCATGATATTTCACCAACAACACCCTACTGCATTGGCACAATTCATCATGTACGGCGTGCGATGCGCCCGTGGTCGGTTGCATGGTTGTTGCGCCGTCATCGAAAAGCATGTGACAGCCCCTATAAGACGTGTTCTATTCGTCATATTTGTTGCGGCTTGCGAGGTGCTCCCATGGTTTTCAAAAACAAACCAGAGGGGTTCTGGGATCAGCCGCAAATTCTAGAAAATGGTGCATCCGATCCAGCGACGGACATCCGATAGATGACCTTGCTGACGGACACGTGCGTCCGTTTGTTTCTTTGCTCGCAGGTAGATGGTCAACGGTGCTGCTGAAGTCGTGCTGACGGAATTCCCGACGATTGCCGGCCCGAGTCAGGAGACCGACCCTGTAGTGGTGGTCGGAGTCGGCGCCGCCAACTTCACGTGCTTTTCCCTCTTCTTTTTTGTTCTACAACTCGGCCTTCTTTTCTATCTTTTATTTTTTTACATATACTCATAGCCCCTCTGGATGTGCCGCGTTGCATCGCACGAAGACGACTGGGTAGGCGATGGAGCTTTGGATGGCCACCCGACACCTAAAATGGTGAGTGCATGCATGGCTTTGGACCGGGACAATGGCAGGTCCTCATCCAATTAGCCTAGACGAATGTACAGGAGCAATCCTCGGCGTATTCTGTCGGCACCCTAGAATGAGACTGTAACTGGGATGGAGTTCTCCTGGTTTCAGTCTCGTAGGCGCATCGGCCATTCGAGTCTGGTGTGCAGATGCATAGCAGATGCAGATGCATAGCATATGCAGAGCAGTCAGGAGTGCAAGACTTGGCGGCGGTACGGGTACACTGAAAGACTTGAGCTGAGTCAGCAGGCGTGACCTGATGGATGAGTGACGAGGGGCATTGGAAGCGCCCAGATCCAACCATGCCATGCATGCAGCCAGTCCCGTCGCGTCGCACTTCAGCGTAGGTACCATTCCACTCACGTTTGCCGCCAGCGGCAGCCAACCCAACTCGTGTTAAAAGGCGGTCGCTGTTGCCTGAGGTTGAGAGATGGCAGAAAAGTGGATCCCCGTCTTCTCTGTTCTTGACGCTTGATCGCCCCAGGTGTGCTCGCCCCCTGCACTGTGGCCGTGGCCTACCTACTCTTGTTTTTTCTTACTAACAGCTGTCCCCGTCGCCCGCCCGGACCTGCCACACCAAAAAAACATCCTGCACCAAAATCTTCGTGTGGTTCCTCCAGCCAAACCACCAACAAGGCGTCTTTGATGCGCCATCCAGCATCAGCTTTCCTGATCGCTGCCCCAGTGTCTTCTGCTGCTTTCGACGCCTCATTTTTTTCTTCTTCAACTTTTTCCATCTACTCGCATCCACCCATTAGTAGTCGCTTCCCGCTGCAGCTTCTGCTTTCCTCTCCCCCGTCGCTTTGTCTGCGAATCCTGCGTGAATCGAGACGCGACTCTCCTTCCGAGACCGAGTCCAACGACGTCCGCCCCATCTCCGTCGACTAATTACAATCCTTAAATTGCATCTGCCTCCTTCGGTCGTCATCATGGATCACCGAAATAGCACCCCGCGCTCGCGCCCGTCGCTCAAATTCGCGAACCGGAGCTACCAAGCTTCACCTCTTAACCCCAACAAGCGACTGGGCACTCCCCAGACTGCTCCGTCCCAGAGAATCCTGAACCGCGACCCGGCCCCCTCGAGCAACCTCAACACGAGCACCATCTCCACCGCTCACAACCTCTTCCGCTCATCCTCCATCAGCGCGAGCCCGGCCGTCACCCCCTTCTCGCCGAGTCTGCCTACGAGCACCGCCAAGAAGGTTTTCGCGCCTGGCGCGACTCCGGCCTCGCAAAAGGTTTACCGGGAGACCATCGCTCAGGCTACCCCGCGAGGCCTGTCGACCAAATCGACGTCGGCCGACCTTTTCCACATGCGCATTCCCTCCCCGCCCCCCGAACTCTCTGGCGAGGCACTTGCGCGAGACATCCCCCCTGAGCTCGAAGCCAAGGGCACTGTGTACGCAGACCAGTACCTCGGCCACCTTGTGCCCCCTGAATACGATGACCTGCAGCGACGCCAGCTCTTCTGCGTCCTGGATCTCCGCCGTCTCAAATATGCTGCCAATGAGATATTTACCAAGAAGGATTGGAAGCTCAACATCATGAACTTTGCAAAAGAGTTTGAAAAGAGTCGAAGCCTGATCATGCTCAGATACGGCCTCTACGAGTTCAAGAACGTCAAACCCTCGGAGGAGGTGTTGAAGAAGTGGAGAACCGCCCACAACCTGCCCGAGCCTGAGGAGGACGCCGTCGATGCCAGCCCTTCGAGACAGACCACTCGTTCCAAGCGCAAGGCTGAGGACCAGTTGACTCCCAAGGATGCGGCACTGTCGACTGCCTCCCCCAACAAGAACAACAAGAGACGTGCTGTAGACAGAGAGGAGGAACAAGAGCCGGCCACCCCAGCTGCGATCAAGAACAAGAGAAGGGCGACCGTGACCGACGAGTCGGACGAGAACCAGCCGAGCAAATTGCAGAAGTCGACTTCGACGCCCTCCGCAACTAAGAGCATGTTCGAGAGGGTTGCTAACAACCAGGGGCCGGCCTCGACCCCCAAGGCGACTCCCAAGGCTGCAGAGGCGAAGCCCAATCCCTTTGGGAGCGTCTCAAAGCCTGCTGCCAACAACCTTTCGCGTTCTGTGCTCGAAGCCAATATTAAGCCTGCTCAGCCGTCCAACATCTTTGGCTATCTCTCCGATGCCAGCTCTGCAAAGAATAGCGGTGTGGAGGCCGACGGCGAGAGCGAAACCGACTCCGACGATGACGTGGAGACGCAGGGAGCCGGACAGCAGAGCTACGAGCCGAGCGTTGCCGCTAGCGGTGGCGCCGAAACACCTTTGGCCCAGCCAGCTTCGAACCCCTTTGGTGCCCAGAAGCCCCTTTTCTCCAGCACCTCCAGAGAAGGCACGCCGGGCAAGAGCCTCTTCGATCGCGTTAGCAAGGACAACAGCGGTCGGGCTCTCCGTGCGGACTCGGCTGAGCCCGCGCCCTCGGCCGACAAGACGCCGTTTGCTTCTAACAAGGATGCCGCGCCCGCTCCTGTCAACGCGACCTGGAACCCCAACTCTCCGATCAAGTTCAATGCCAATGCTCCGGCCAGCAATGGTCTCTTTGGCGCATCTACCGCTACCAATGGGTCTGGCTCCCTCTTTGGCGCTAAGCCTGCCGCACCCGCTTCCAATTTATTCGGCGCCACGCCCGCTGCGCCCTCTTCCAATCTGTTCGGTGCGCCCAAGCAGGATGAGAATCCCAAGGCCGAGAAGCGCTCCCGACCTGAGGAGGACACGGGGGCCGAGTCTGACAAGGAAAACAGCTCTCAGCCTCCCGCCAAGTCCACCTTTGGCGGATTCTCTGGGTTCCAGTCCAAGTCGTCGGAGCAGCCCAAAAAGGATGAGGCACCGTCCAAGCCGGCGGCTGCGCCGACGTTCGCGTTCGGTGCTTCTGCTTCCAAGGCGGAAGAGGCCAAGGCTCCGGCTCCGGCCTCGAACCTCTTCGGCGCTCAGGACAAGCCTGCGGGCTCCGTCATGCAGTCCTCGACGCTGTTCGGCGCGAAGCCTCAAGAGGCACCTGCCGCCGAACCTGCTAAACCCCTGTTCGGCGCAAGTATTTCGGGCACTTCGACTCCTTTCCAGTCGAACTCCCTCTTCGGCAACAACGCGCCGGCATCGGGTACCTCCAACCTTTTTGGTGCTAAACCAGCCGAGGCTCCCAAGGCACCCGAGGCCGCTTCTGCTTCCGCGGCGCCCGTCTTCAGCTTCGGTGCTAACAAGCCGGCGGAGTCCGCCCCAGCCGCCAACCCTCTCTTTGGCGGCAGCCCCATGAAGCAAGATGGGCCGCCAGCGAAGAGGCAATTCAATGCCCCATCTTCTGCACCTTCCGCGCCGTCAGGTGGCATGTTCAACTTTGGAGGAAACCAGAGCGCGCCTGCTTCCAACCCATTCGGGGGTGCTGCGTCTGCACCCCAGACTAACGGAGGTTCTAGCGGTCCCCCAAGCTTCGGCTCCGGTGGCGGTGGATCTTTTACGTTCAGCGCTGGTGGTGGAGGTCAGACTTTCAACAACCCCTTCGCGTCTAACAACGGAGGTACATCCGATGCCGCCCCTTCGTCCGGAGGCATGTTTAACTTTGGTGGATCATCTGCGCCTTCCAACGGCTCTTCGCCATTCCAGTTCGGCGGCGGTTCGTCCTCGGCTGCTCCGTCGAGCAGCACCCCCTTCCAGTTTGGAGCCGGTGCTCCCGCTCAGCCTGCGGCTCCCGCAGCGTCGGCTTCCACTTTCACCTTTGGCGCCTCGACCGGATCCGCCAACTCCTCGGCGCCCGCCTCTCAGAAACCGCTGTTCGGAGCGTCGACTTCGACGCCCACGAGCAACCTCTTTGGTTCCAAGCCCGCTCAGCCTGCGTCCGGCATGTTCGGCAACCTGCAGCCTCCGGCCGGTGTTTCGACCACTGGAACCAACTCGCCTTTTAACTTTGGCGGCGCCTCAAGCCTAGCCACTACCCCTGCCACGGGAACTCCCGAGCCGGCTGCGGAAGCGGAGAAGGCTGGTGGTAGTGGCGAAGGTGACGATGCTGAAGGCAAGCCTCACGAGCAGCTCAAGCTCACTGAGGGAGGTCCCGGTGAGGAAGACGAGTTGGTTGTCCACGACGTTCGTGCTAAGATTATGAAGTACATTCCTGCCGGCTCTGAAGAGGACCAGGACAGCGGCGATGACCAGCCCAAGAACAAGAGCCCATGGTCGACCAAGGGTGTTGGCCCGTTCCGTTTACTGAAGCACAAGAACACAGGCGCCGTCCGCATGCTCTTGCGCGCGGAGCCCCGTGGCCACGTCGTGCTGAACCGATCCCTCCTTCCCAGTGAGACCTACAAGCCGGACAAGAAGTACGTCAAGCTCACCACCTCCAATGAGGCCGGCAACGGTCTCGAGACGTGGATGGTGCAGGTCAAGACTGAGGACCTGGCCAAGACGCTGGTCGCCGCCCTGGAGACCCACAAGTTGGCCAACGCCAAATGAAAGATGATGGAAACGCCACGAGCATGAAAGATACGGGAGAATGGACCAAGCGTCTTTTATTTTTATTGATTTTCATCTTTTCCTCGGCCTCAACGGACCAGCTGATCCCCTTCCCCCCACGGCTTTTCGTCGTTTGTTGTTTTGTCTTTTTTTCCCTGGTCCGGGGTTTATACTAGATAGGAGAGAGTGAAGGAACAGCGAGTTTCGCGTAGCGAAAAAAAAAGAAGAAGGAGAGAAAGGTAAGGCATAGCATTGCTCTTTTGGCTTGGCGTTGGGAAATATGCGAATTTTTTGCGTCTTCTTCTCCTAATTCTGCTGCCCCTGTGAGTCGTGTTGTGGGTGTAGGGAGGGAGGGCGGCAAGGAGAACTGGGTGCAGTGCGGTCTCTGAGGGTGTCATCGAACGAGAGTTGGAAGGTGGATGAGGAGGAAATGGCCCAAAAGAAGAAAGAAAAAAAGGGGATATGTTTGTAGAAGAAGGATTATGGTACACGGGAGGACAAGCACTTTGTAGTAGTACGTTATCAATGGGATCCTGCACCCCCCCTTCGGCTCTGGTTCGTCTCCCTTCGAGTTGATATGTATGGAATGAGTCACGTCAAGATGCGACGGGGCCGGGTTGTGCAAAGCCACTTTGAATCGCGTCTCCTGTCAACAGAGGCAACAGATGTCGTCGGACACTGACCCTCGACAGGAAGGCCTTGCCTGCTAGATTACTACTGGGCCTTTGGCATCCTTCCTCCTCGGCCCGATGCATCACGGAGTTCATCCGAGCAGTCTCGACAGGAGGAAGCGTCCGGCACTCGGGAAATATGTTTCCCGGCCGAGCGGTCGGTCACGCATGCTACTTGACTCCCACGCCCTACCAAAGGCGCGGAGAGAGGGGGGGGGGGGGGGGGGAGAAAAAATACGGATTACTAGTCTAGAGGTCGAGAATCGACTCGATGGGCACGCCCCAAAACCAGCTGGCAACACCCATGGCCCCCATGCTCATGGTGAACGCCATCAAAAAGTTGACATCGTTGTTGTCCAGCAGGTCCCACCCCGTCTCCACGACCCGCGAGGGCTTTGCGTCGCCCATGGTCGGCTTGCGGTGCTTGTCCTCGGGATCGTACCTCTTCTTTGAGTCGCTGGTCTGGGGGGTTTCCACGCTGTCAGCCTCCTGCATCTTCTCCACGGCGCGCTTGCCCTCCCCGTGGAGCGCCGCGGCCTTGAGGACCGCGCGCTTCTGGTTCTTGTCGGCGTGGTCGGAGGCGTCGCCGGAGATCAGGACCTTGGTCCCGCCCTCGCCTTCGACGATCTTGCCGGTCCGCACATCTCTGACGGAGCGCTGCAACAGGGCACCGAGAACGCTGTCCAGGAGGCTTCCAAGGACGCCCCAAAGCGTCATCCCCAACATAAAGGTGGACCGCTGCTGGGTTGTCCACGCCGAGATGCCACCTCCGACCTTACCGGCAGTGTCGTCTCCGCATAACGGGAGGAAGACCATGGAGGCCGTCACAATGATCATCGAGCCCAACGCACCAGCGGCGATACCGAGGGCAGTGACGCCGCCGTTCGTGCCGCGCGGGACCTTGCGCAGGGTGGGTGATGTGATCAGGCGGGGCTCCCCCTTGGCCAGGATTCCTAGCTCCGAGCTGAACGTGTCGGCAGCGACCGCGGCGTAATTCGCGATGATCCCGATAACAAGGAGGTCGCCGCCCCAGGAATAGCAGAGCGTTCCAGAGGGGTTTGAGGTCGTCGAGTCCACGATCGCGGCCTTTCGCTTGTTGAGTTGGTAGGCATGGAGGAGTGAAAGGCAAGATGCCATCAGCGAGTTGGCAAAAACTGGAGCTCACGCGCATCAGAGAGGATACAAGCAAGTAATCCTGAGCGGCGGCAGGACTCACCCTGGACGTGGGTGCGCGCCCCTTCGCCTCCGGGCGTGCCTCTGGAAGCCATCGTCATCTGTGCTTTGACATCGTGCTTGACCTGAGAAAAGTCAAAATCCCATGTTTCCTCTCAATAGATAATTTTGTTGTAGTACCTTGGTAGCCCTAGTTCCAGCAAGAAAGAATACGCAGAGCAGCGCGAATGGCAGGTTCCATGGGTGGTAGGCATGAGCGATAGCTGTGATAACGGCGGCAACGATGCCAGCGGGAGTGAGGGATTGGTGCGACCAGGCTCGGTAGACGAGTGCCAGCGTCGCAGGGACGGCGTAGATTGCTTTCATTGTGGCGGCTTGACTTGTGGGTTATCGTGGGCTCTCGAAGATCCGGTTTGTCGGCCACCTCGAAGTTGTAGAACGCTTCGATCAACCGGCCCAGGGCTGTCAGGTGGGATGAGCAGGTGTTCGAATGATTGAGCACCACACGTGACGTCAGCGCTGGGAGCTGGGGGGACATAGCTTCAGACCCTTACCAGCTCGCTTCCTCATTGATGCATATTCATGGTCTCATTATATATATGCATATATACGTTTGATTGACTGTTCAAGTCCTTTTGAGACCCGTTGGACATTATTTCATACTCAAGCCACCACCCACCTGCCGGACAATGAAGCCAATTCGTAGCCCCTCCGATCACCCCGTCATCATATCCAGATTCGGATTCCATGATTCACTTCCGGGCTGAAACTGCTAGGGCGGTCATTTTGATGCTCATTAATATGTCTAAAAATGACAGGCTTAGAATCTCGACTTGGACTCTTCTTCGCTACAGTAATGCGCCGCAAAACCGATAGCCGAATTCACAGCTTCTCTCTTAGCTACTCCTTCTTCGGTACTCATTCAATCCAACAGGATACACTCAGATATAGTTATCATTTCCCCATCTTTGAGCGTCCTAGACTCCGATAGTTTAGTCATAATGGCGCTGATGACCCCGGCCACCGACAACGTGACCAATGAGCCACCTCAGGCTCGACCCTGCGATCCTCAGGAGCAAGCGCCCTTCTTCAAGCTCCCTTGGGAGCTTCGCACGGCCATCTATGATATCGCATACCCTCGTATCCATCTACCGCAACTCATATACATAGATGTCAATGGCAAGGCGACGTGCAATGAGGTCGGAAATTCTTCTTCTGTGAAAGGCCGTCTTTGTCGAGTTGTCTGTAATGGGGTATTTGAAGATAACGGCGCTGAGATTAGAGCGAGACGCGCGGCTACACACCATGCGGCGAGTTCCACAGGACCAGACCTTGAGCGGAACCAACACGAGCAATACTGTCGCCGCACTCACGACGAGCTTGCCTACCCATTGCCCCTCCTGCTCGCGTGTCGCCGCATGTGCGAAGACGTTGCGCCTCATTGCGATCAGTCGTTTGCCTTTCAAGACTTGCTCGCTCTGGAAGCCTTCTTCGACAAGGTGGCGGGCAGGGAACTGGCCAACGGTCTCAGGGGACGGTTGAACAAGGTCTCACTCGATGTCAAATTCAGCAACACCGATGCCTTCAAGCCTTCATCGAGAAAGAAGATCCTCCCTCGCTGGACGGCGGCCTGCGAGAGACTCTCCACGTGGGAGAACATGCAAAGCTTCCGGCTGCGCGTAGAGATCCCCTTGTCGCAGCAAAAAGCCATGCCCGGGAATCTTCACGTTCCCTTTATAAGGGAGCTCGATCGGGTTGCGGCTCACGCCCCAGACATCGAGATAAAGATGATGCTCACCTCGCGAGCTCATCCAAGATCTGCATCAATCAGGCTATATAATCCGGGTGCGCCAGCTTATAATTTGAAAGATTACGGCTTCGAGGTGCCTCGTTGGAGAACACAGCAGGTCAAGGGGGATGAGTTGGACAGAGATCTCGGGATGTCGTAGAAGTAGTCGGATGGAGTTGGGAGACTATGACACGCGCTATGAGAAGATTATGAAGGCTCTCATAGTAACTTCTGATAATGATGAGTGACATGCCATGTGCAGGTTTCGCAGTAGGCGGGACATGAGAGCTTCCCGAGGTCGGGGCTTATTCGCTAACGAGCGTGAAGAAGAGTGATGCTGACGGAGTCCTGAAAGAAGGAACTCGATGCAAGGGTACGCGCAAGATAGCTCAGCACAGCCAATAAGAGCGGGTCTTGACACGATTACAGGACCCCCCGCCATCCCCGGAATCGGCTCTTTTTTGCTTAGCGAGAATCAGTGAGCTTCATGATTCATGAAGGCCAGGCACTCACTACATCTTCACCCCAGCTAGCTTGTGATGGATTTTGCCTAAGGTTTAAACACTGACGGTAGAAGGGGACCTTTCTCTTCTTTGAATAAGACCCGTGAGGAATATCCGTCGGTTCCGTCTCGGAGTGGCCACGCCTTGAGAATCAAACTCGGAAGCGATGTCCGCTGCCAGCGATCTCACGGCGATTCCTCCTCACTCAGACACCATGTCCGCGGACGTGAGGAAAGAGCCGCCCAAAGTGGTCAAGAACTACAAGGGCTTCGTCGCCGGCGTGTTCTCCGGAATAGCCAAACTCACAGGTCTGTCGATACCCCTCTCGTTCCCTCCCAACGTTGAAAAGCTCCCCCAATCACTGACACGGCGAAGTCGGCCACCCCTTCGACACGGTCAAAGTGCGTCTCCAGACAACAGACGCCTCGCGCTTCAGCGGGCCTCTCCAATGCGTCGCGCTGACGTTGCGGAACGAGGGCGTCTCGGGCCTGTACAAGGGCGCGACACCGCCGCTGGTGGGTTGGATGTTCATGGACTCGGTCATGCTGGGCTCCTTGACCGTGTACCGCCGGCTCGTCGCCGAGCGCCTCTTCCGGGTCGGCAGCGTCGACAACTTGCCGTCGTACGGCCACGGCATCGCGGGCATCATGGCCGGCAGCACCGTCAGCTTCATCGCGGCGCCCGTCGAGCACATCAAGGCACGCCTGCAGATCCAATACGCCGCCAGCAAGGCCGAGCGGCTGTACAGCGGGCCCATCGACTGCCTGCGCAAGATCTACGCGCACCACGGCGTGAGGGGCGTGTACCACGGGCTGAGCGCGACTCTGCTGTTCAGGGGCTTCTTCTTCTGCTGGTGGGGCAGCTACGACGTGTTTTCAAAGTACCTCAAGGAGAAGACGAAGCTCAGCGCGCCGGCGGTGAACTTCTGGGCGGGCGGGCTGAGCGCGCAGGTCTTCTGGCTGACGAGCTATCCCTCCGACGTGATCAAGCAACGCATCATGACGGATCCCCTGGGCGGCGGGCTCAACGACGGCGTGCAGAGGTTCCCCAGGTGGAGGGACGCCGCCGCCGCGGTGTACAGGGAAGCGGGGTGGAAGGGTTACTGGCGCGGGTTTCTGCCGTGCTTCTTGAGGGCGTTCCCGGCCAACGCCATGGCATTGGTGGCATTCGAGGGCGTCATGCGCGCCTTGCCCGAGTAAAAGGCGTTGCACGTACAAATTGTAGACATAGAGGCGCCGACACAAGGGGCGACCACGTCATGTACTTTTAAAAGGATACCCGGAATCACACATCTCAAGTTGCGTCACGAAATGGGAAAAAGAAAAAAACTCTGTGGCAGATCAACAAGCACACGAGGGTGCTAGCTTTTGGTATTCCCCATGGTATTTCCCATTAACCTTGCCAAAATTCAAGTGCCATGCCGACCCAAGTAACCTGACCGATGCATAGAAAGCGTTTACTCGTCGTCATCCTCAGCCTCGTCGTTGACGACGTTGAAGAACTTGAGCTCGTAGACACCCTTGGAGGTGGAGACGACACGGAGCCAGTCACGGAGCTGCTGCTTCTTGAGGAACTTCTTGGTCCTGCGGGTGAAGAGATGTCAGTAATCGTCGCCGGGAGGGGAGAGAGGGGTCCAAGGATGGACAACGGCGCGGGACAAAACGTACAGGTACTTGAGGTAGCGGCCAGAGAGCTCGTTGTGGGCGATGATCTCAATCTTGCCCTCACCCTGCTGGGAGATCTGGACCTGGTCGCCGAGGTTGCCGACGCGACCCTCAACCTTGATCTTGTCCTGGAGGAACTTCTCGAAGGCAGCGACGTCGAAGATCTTGTCGGAGGCGGGCTGAGAAGCGTTGATGATGAACTTCTTGGTGACCTTCTGGTTCTTGCCCTTGCCAGTGCGCTTGATCGCCTATTGAGAGAATTTTGACTTAGCCTACTGTTTCACGCCGCCGCCGCGCAGGACTCTTTCGAGCCTTTGGGGCCGGGCCAACAGCAAAGCGGTTGTCTCATGGTGTACGTACTGCTTGAGGAGCCATTTTGGACGGTTGTGATGGAACGCAAAGAGGTTTGATCCTGCGTCTGGTTGTTGGTGGTTCTGGTGAGGGGAGGGGGAATTGTCTGATTGAGATCGGTTGAGCCTGGTCTTCACGAACTTTTTCCTGCACCCGGGTGGATTTTCTGTGTGGGTTAGAAAAAACGAATAGCGGAAAAAGATTAGGGCAGCGGAACATCCGTTAATCCGATACTACCGGCCCGCACTCACTGGCGGCTGGGGACTTTGAACTGCTACCTACCCCAATCTCGAAAAGGCAAGAGGTGGGGCATGCTCTCCAGTCGCAACACTTCATAATAGTGTAGGTAACCCATCAATTGTCCTTGCCGTAGTCTATTGACGGCTAGTCGGTGCTTCTGCCTGGAATATGCACCTCACTCATGGTAACCCCCATGTAAGAGACCCCATCCCTGAGCGAATTGCCGCATGAAAGGCTGCCTAGCTGTCTTCATTGGTTGGAGTCTCAATGCGGCTTCATCTTACTCGGTGATACGGTTCTGGGCGACGAACCAGTCGAGTTCTTGCAAACACTCGACCCTTACTCCATGTTACAGAGAGTTCTTCCATTTGTATCATCTCGTGATCCGAGCTGTGGGTTGCATACATCCCCCCCCCCCCCCCCCCCCCCAAAGGGAGTATCGGAGTCTGATGACCTACGACTTTAGGTTGACTCTGCTGTAGTTCCCTTGCCTATCATATCGGGACTGAACCCTCTATACATCCCGGTTACCTTGTGCCTCGAAATGTTTTCCTGACGGCATCTGGCGCTCAATATACCCGACATTGAACACGAGTGTTAGTTCCAAGGTGGCAGTATCAATCGAGGAAGAAACGGGCGATGCACAAGTCAATAGCAAACGGGTTTGGACTTCAACAACTATTACTGATGCAAAGACCACCCCTAGTGACGATCATCTAGGATGGGTATAGAAGAAGTTGCGATAGAAGATGCCCACCCACCTCTTGACAAGCGCAAATCCATCTGGAGTTTTGATTCGCGGGATGCAAAGTTGAAAGTCCGAGTCATCCCAGGTTTGGGGCTGCCCGGACCGGACGATAAGATTGGTTCCTGACCTTCACTGGGGCTGCTAGTATCCGTACAATGGTGTCATTCACATCCATGATCTGAACCCGGGGGAATCGTGCGTAGGGCTGAGCCACTTGAATCGGGTACGTACCGAAAAGTACCCCAACTTCCGAACACCCCTCCAACAAGGAAGCTCGTTATAGTCACAAAGGCTGTCCGGACTGCAGATGACGACCAATTTGATTGCTACCTTCCTGCTACGATCTAGGCACCCAGTCCTGTGGATGGATCTAAGGCAGGCCAGCCTGATTTGATCGTAAGAGGTTGCGCCAATGGTAGGCCTCAACGACAAGTCGCCCGCTTCGACTCTGACTACCATCCAGTCGAGGGGTTGCCAGCCTCCAATCGTCTACCGTGTTGCTAGCTTTTCCGCCGCTGTGTTCCAAATACCCGCAGCGGTGGCCTTGTTTCACACACCCGGATGAGGCTCGTTGAGGTCGAGGTTCTTGACCGCGAGCGCCGGGCTGTCTGCTCTTATTCGATCGAGGGAACCCTACTTACGGGTCCTGTCACCACACCAGCCTGCAACCTGCAGTGGATATGTCCATGAGGCACCGATTTGAACACGCATGGAGAACCAATCACTGACTGTGTACGTCCATCCGCAACTTGGCGCCAATGGTTTATACTCACATGCTCGGGCTGGGTTCCCAACATGCCATGGTACTTCCATGCAAGATCAGGCCCTAGAATGGCCACCGCATTAGTTCGATAACTATCGTTAGCCTGTGGTTTCAATCTGGTTCCCATCCTGATCATAATGCAAGCTCCTTCACCTCCTCTACCGAACCCAAGCCGTGTCTTCGTTCAATGTTGACTGAAGGGCACACCAGCGAACAATAACCAAGGAACAACAGGTTCCGTGTGGTGCTGGGATAGTGATTAGATGACCCTTGGAATACAGACACCTTATGTATTTGATTCCCGTCTACAGTATGCAATCAAGCCTCTCGGAACCCAGTTATCTAGGAATTCGGCCGTGCAGGCGTGTCTCACTCCACACTCGGCTTCCCCAGAGCGTCCACATCAGCACTACTAATACAACCTACGAACCTCGTCATGGTCATAAGGGATTGCCTGTTATCACTGCGGGTCCCTAGATAACCGGGGAATCACCGACATGCAAGTCAGCCAGTATCTCATACACGATGAGTTGAGGTGAACTTATCCGCCTGTCGGACGACCCACCATCTTCCCAAAGACATTTTAAGGCGACTTCCAGGCACTCCTGGCCTGGGGTTCTCTATACGAGAACACTCTCTGCGCCGTATCTCAAACCATGCTCTGTTCATATCTACCGAGAGTGCCCCTCCCCAGTTCTCCTGGCCCTCACTTTGTCTCGGGATTGGTCACTTGCTTGTCCGACTAGACCCTGTAGACTTGTTTCCTGGCACCGTAATAACCAGTCGCATATGAACGAGCCCTTGAGTCACCTCAGGCCGTGCGTGATGGTGTGGACTGCACATCGCCATCCCCAATCAACTGCAGGTTATATGGCATCGACGCAGGCTGTACTTGAGGGCAAGTGGGCTTGCGTGGCATAGAGATAGAGAGGCAATGCATAAAGGACAACATCTGCCCGGTCTTTGAAGTTGGATCTGTAACCTCGAGCAGGAGAAACTGAACCGCACAACAAGAAAACGTAGTTATGATGAGAATAGCCATCGCCGGGGCCGGAGGTCTCGCAGCCATCCTCACCCGCCACATCACGCAGACGGCCAACCCTGTGATAGTCCTTTCTAGAGATGTTGGTGCTCCGTTCCTAATCATCCCATTAGTTACTGCTAAAATGACTTTGTGCAGTCAAGACCGGACTGGGAGCAACGCTACGACTGCCAAGTCGCAGTCGTTAACTACGATGACGCCGAAAACCTCAGATTCGCCCTCCAGGGCATCGATCTCGTCATCTCAACGATCCGCGGCCATGAGCAGATCAAACTGATACATGCCGCCCGCCATGTCCGCGTGCGCCTGTTCGTCCCGGCAGAGTTCGAAGGCTCGATTTCTCACAGACCGTCTGATGACGACCCCCTGGACTACGGGTCATCCGAGGCCATCGAGCTGTTGAAACACTGCGCCGGCTCCAAGTCCCGCAAGATGGACTACACGGTCTTCTCCTGCGGCATCCTTTACGAACACTTCGCCCCTGGTGGGTTAGCGGACTACGGCATGGGGGACCGAGCCTGCATAGGCAGCCCCGGAGCCTATCTTGTCGACGTCGGGAACGCCACGGCCGATATCGTCGAGACAAATTCGTCCGGACGGCCGGTTCAGGTATGCATGACTTCGGTGGAAGACGTAGGTCGCTTTGTCGCCGCGGCCATCGAGCTTGGCCCCGGCACCTGGCCTCGGGAGTTCAAGATGCGCGGCGACAGGATGTCGGTTCGGGACATATTCGCCAAGTGTTGCAACGTCAGAGGAGGTGAGTTTGTAACTCCCACTTTGCCGAACGGGCGCAATGGCGGAATTGCTAATGTTTGGCAGTCTCATTTACCCTGAGGACTCGGGACTGCTCTAAACTCCAGAGCGAACTCGCACATTACGAATCGAGGCAGAACTGGACCCAGTGGTGGAACGTCCAACGCCTGATCGCCACCGCCGACGGACGGTACGACTTCCGCCAAGCTAATCTCAACGACGCCGTCGACTTTCGGCCGGTCGGGTTCAGGACATGGTTGGAGTCACAGTGGGGGCGATGACAATACTTGGTGCATCAACTTATGTTCTTTACCTTTAAATCTTGGGGGGTGAGGGGGGGTTCTGAATTTCCATATACACATTTTACCCGCTTTATCACCACACAGCCCATATCCAGCAAGCAGTACATGATGATTTGTTTACTTGATTGCCCTCAAACAGAACCAAATATCTGAATAAACCCCCTTTCACCCACCTTCAACCTTGGTATACCTGCTATAGCAACCGGTAGCTATGTGGTCCATGTAGTCGACCTGGTGGCCAAAAAGATGACACAATCCAGACCTGTTCAGCTCATGGCGAGAGACCCGGCGACAAGAACGGTATCCATCCATTCTACTCTATTCGAGTTGGACATATCTACCCAAACGTACTGAATGGAGATCTCATCGAACCATTCAAATGGTCGGTACCAGGCGACGTCAAAAGGTAACATCGTGCATGTGACTGCATCCTTCAGACCATATCAGGTCTGGTTCCAAGCCCTGATCCAACCCATGTCCTTTTGAGCTCTGTGACCATGGACCAAAGCGCTGGCCTTACAGGTGGTCTCGTAAGCAAAGATATCGGGCTTGATCAGGCTTCTGTGGCCGGTCCCAAGGACCAGGAAATCTGCCATCAATTGCGCCTCCTGCACTCCAGTATCGGGGTCGCCAATGCTGACGCGCTCTCAATCTTGCGAGGGTCCCTCCCGAAGCCGCGATGACGACCTGCCATTGGTCAGTCTCCGTTCTGCCAGTAATCCGCCTCAGAAACTTTACGGATGCCCCGATGCAGCAAAGTCAGCAGCGTGCCTTGGGGAAGATACACAGAATGTGGTTATATGTGACTCCCATCTTCAACCCGAACTGTCGACGCCATTCCACAGCAGCACACCAAATTGGGCATTGCTCGCAGTCTTGTGTTGCATCATGTATCAGGCTGCCGGATGCCTCGCAATACCGGAGCCTATAGCCGAACCATATAGTCGGTTCCTAACTCCCTAGATCAGTCGGGAAATTCCCGCCCCAGAGCCGCGTTGAATGCTCTTCTATTAGCCGTGTTGAATGCCAGGTGACCATCTCAAACAAGCTAGTCCGTGTGACACTTTGTACTGTTGAAACTCCGTTGTGTAAATACCATCCGTCCATGCCCGATTCCATTGACAGTGTAACCCACACTCATGTCTGCCCCCCGCCGCGCCATCTTGTTTGTTGAAAAGTAGTCTCCCATGTAGCATTGCCCTCGTATTTCTCATGTAGCTTCTGCCTTACGCCTTCTCTGACTCTTCGCCGAACTCCTCCACGACCCAGAGACAGAACTTTTCCCACTCGGTCGCCCACTGCTTGAGCCGGTCCGCCTTGACACCCGACCCGAGGCTCGCCTCCTTGATGCCCGCGGTCCACTCCGCGGGCGTCTCGTCCTCGAACGCGGACCACCGCACGCTGTTCTCGGCCATGGAACCCAAGCCCAGCAGCCCGACGTTCTCCCACCCCTGCAGCGCCTGCCAGTAGTCGTGCGACATGCCCGCCGTGTCCTGGCCCAACATGGCTGGGTCGTCGTTGCAGAGGGCGCAGGGAACGCCGCGGGACAGCAGCGCGGGGAGCGGGTGCGACATGATGGAGCCGCAGAGGCGGAGGACCTCGTTGCTGATGGGGCACGACTCGATGAGGATGCGCTTTTCCTTGATCATGTCGATGAGGAGCGGGTGCTTATACAGGGAGAAACCGTGACCGATGCGTCGCGTGCCCAGGAGAACGGCGTCGAAGAGATTCTGGTCCGTCTCGTCGCCGTCGCCGAGGGTCTCGCCGGCGTGGAAAAAGAATGGCAGGTTGACGCCCTCCTGCGCGCACTGCTTGCGGAACCAGAAGAGCTCCGGGAGGAGGTCGCGAAGCGGGCGACCCAGGTCCTCCTGGCCGACAAGATCGTAGCCGGCGATGAGGTGCGGCCAGGACATCTTGGTCGTGATGCAGTTGTCCATGCTCTCAATGATATCGCGCGTGGGCAGGTGGCGGATGGTGGTCCAGATGGTGCGGAAGCCCCAGAAGGCGGCGTTTGCGGGATCGGACTTGAAGAGCGCGAGCTCCTCCTCCATCACTTGGAACATGTGGTTGTAGTCCTTCTCTGGCTCTTCTTGGCCGTCACGGCAGTAGTTAAGGGGCCATGTGAATCTGCTTCCGTCAATGACAATGGGTTTTGGGGAATACGGGAGGCAATGATGCTCACCTGAGCTCAATCCAGTAGATGCCGTCCGCCAACAGCGATGCCATGAGTCTCTTGAGGAAAGCGCGGAAGATGGGCTCGTAGTGGATAATAGTGTTAGTGACCATAAAGCACGAGGCAAATTTGCGCCATACGGCGTCGATGCCGTGATGCTGCTCCATGCTGTCCGTCAACGTGATGGTGCATCTGGACTTCAGCCATTTGAGGAATCCCGGCCTGCCGCCATCGGGGTACTCATCCGCCGCCTTGGTCAACAGCCGGAACTCTCCGGGAACGTAGTCCTCCTCCCACGGTGAGTTCTTGCTGTCCTCAGCCTTCCTGAATCTGAAATGAACTCCAGATTTGGACTTTGATGTCTCGTTCGACAGCGGCGCGTCCGCCGCGAAATGCATGCCGGGGGTGTTCAACAGAACATCGAACAGGAAATCAAAGTCAACCATGGCGTCCAAGTGGGCGTGGAGAAGCGAACCCTTGGGCATTTTCTGGACAATACGCCACAGACGGGTCGTCTCAAGGCGTTGCTTGGCGAGCGTGAACATCATTCCGGGGAAAGGCGCAAGGCCCTCACTTGTTGCGAGGTCCTCTTCGGCCTGTGCGTTCCATATCGTCCGCTTCTCTTCAAGACGGATGCGGGAAACAATGTCGGCCGCGCGACGGGCAATCGGCGAAGCCGCAGCACGAAAGGATGCATCGGCGCGGGACTTCTGCTCCTGGGCGACGAGGGCCTCACGGCCGTTGATGTACTGTGCGATGAAAGGGTCTGAGACCTCGGGGATGTCCTGGCGGATCTCTTCCCAATCCTCGTTGGTGAGAGACATGGTGAGCAGGCGGACAGTGCAGAACTTTGTGTTGGAATGTGAGGAAGGGTGAAAAGGGGAGCGGCGTACGTCGGGTTTTGATGAGACCCAAAACGCCGGGTTGTGGATATTTGCGGTCGATCAGGTAGGCAAGGATCCGTGGAGTTGACGATCGGCTGGCTCCGTTGCGTTTGATCGAGGTTGGTCGTGGTTAGTCAAGCAGGTTAAGTCACCGGCGGCTTACGATGGAATTAGGCGGCTTGTGGTGACAGCGGGGTCGCGGGGTCGATTTAATGGTCCGTGCATCCGTCCCCACCCGGAGTTCATGCCGTTGCTGCCGGTCCGGTACGGCGTTCTTTTGCATGCTGATCGGCGGGTAATAACCGTTGTGTCTCCGCAATGCCACAGGTGGCATCTGGTTGGTACGGTCAAAGTGCTGGATTATGTGATTGGGCTGATCGGCAAGAACTTGGTCAGGATACGCGAGGCCAAGCGATTTCCTTGGACGGTGCAACAAGGACAAGGGGTGAAGTGGAAGACCGTTGTCAATAAAACCAAAATGACCAGTGCTGGGTTTTGCAACGGGTGGTAAATCCCGGATCCGACGTCCATGTTATGGTATTTGAGCATCACGACAACCAACACCTTTCTAGCCTTCCGCCCTCATACTTGAAGCGCGGTATCCTCCCTGTTCGCATGACTCCCCTTCCTCCACCCTTCCGTCGGATCTCTCTTCCGCGTAAACGCCTTCTCCGTCCCGACCTTACCCCAGCCACCGCCGCCTGGGGTGTTGATGATGATCCTCTCACCCGGCTTCATTGGCGCGCTGTTCTTGGCACCCAGGTTGAATCTCCTCTCCTCATACTCCACCTCGGCATCCTCCCCGCTGCTCTGCCCACCCTTGAGCCTCTTCAGGGATTTCTCCCAGCTTCCATTCTCAACCTTCCTCACCCAGATGTTTAGTCCGGACTCGCCATCCTCGCCGCCGGCGAGCCCATATGGCCGGTACACCCGCCTCTCACTGAGGATCGACACCTGCACCGGGATGCGGAACTCGATGTCCCTCACGACGCCGTCGCCGCCGCGGTGCTGTCCATCTCCACCAGACCCGTCCCGCAGCGAGAACTCGCGCAGGATCACCGGATAACGCCGCTCAAACACCTCCGAGTCCGTGATGCGCGTGTTGGTCATGTGAGTGTGCACACCACTGGTCCCCTCCCAGGTGGGACCTGCGCCGCTACCGCCCGCGATCGTCTCATAGTACCCGAACCCTTTGACTTCCTTTTGGCCCGTGAGGTTCCCGCCAAAGCCAAATGTGAGGTTGTTACAGTCACCCTGGCTCGCCGCGCACGCCTGGAAGGCCTTGAAGATGACATCCGTCACGCGCTGACTCGTCAGCACGTTGCCGCCAACCACGGCGGCGCCGCCTGAGGGGGAAAGGAGTGACTTTGGCGGGATCTTGACGTTAATGGGCTTGAGACACCCCTGGTTCAGGGGAATGTCCTCGGAGATGAGGCAGCGGAGGCAGTAGATGATGGCACTGTATGTCACGGCCTCTGGAGCGTTGATGTTGCCGTAGACTTCAGGACCAGTGCCCTCAAAGTCAAAGACCGCCTCGCCCTTTTCAGCGTCGATCGTCACCTTCAGCCGAATGGGGCTGCCGTCGTCCATGAAGTCTACCGCCTGGAGCTCTCTGCCCTCGAAGCGCTTGCTGACCCCTTTCAGGAGCTTACGGACGCACAGCTCTGCGTTGTTCTGGATATGGACCATGTAGAACTGCACCGTCTCCTCGCCGTACTCCTCAATGAGCCCCTCAATAAGTGCAATACCCTTCTGGTTAGCCGACACCTGAGCTCTCAGGTCATTGATGTTGTCAGCTAGGCAGCGGGTCCCGCTGCAGCCAGGGTACTGTGCGGGCTCGTTGTATAGCAGCTCTGTCACTCTCTTCTCATCGAAGCGGCCTTCGCTCACAAGCTTCTCGCTCTTGATCGCGGCGCCTTCTTGGAACAACTCCTTTGAGTGAGGTGGCATACTGCCGGCGGTGATGCCACCGATGTCTGCGTGATGAGCTCTGGAGGCCGCGTAGAAGAGAATCTTATCGCCTTTGTCGTTGAAGGCCGGCATTACAAGAGTGATATCCGGCAGATGAGTGCCTCCATACGAGGGGTGATTGGAGATGATGACATCGCCCTTCTTCAAATCACCCTTCCATATCTCAGCTTGGCGCTTGACGCAGGTTGACATGGAGCCCAAGTGAACCGGCAAGTGAGGAGCATTTGCTACGAGGCCGCCCGACGCGTCGAAAATGGCGCAAGAAAAGTCTAGACGCTCCTTCACGTTGGTACTGACACTTGTCTTCTGCAGTGCTCTACCCATCTGTTCTGCAATCGCCATGAAGCGATGACCAAAGATACTCAGCATGATCGGATCAACCTCGCGTTCCCCTTGGCTCTCTTGTGTGCTGTTACAAGTAGTCAGCATTGTAGTTCTTGTTTGGGTTTGGCGTACATACTTTTCCTCTTTTGAGCCGTCCTTCTGGATGTCGATGATAACATGGGTATCAAGTACCAAGGCTGTGGCCTTGGGCGTGACCACAATTGTCTGGGTTCCATCGGCCAGCATGGCAGGCCCCTTGATGATCTCGCCAGTGCCCAGGTCTTCGAGCTTGTACACAGGAGTATCAAGTCGGCCCTCCTCGAAAAACACTTTCTGTCGGTTATGTGCCTTGCTCTGCTCCACATCCTTGCGCTTCAGTTCCTTCAGCTGCTGATCAACTGTCTTTTCCGTATGCCTGTAGCTCTTGCCAATGCCTCTGACGCGGACATCGTCCACAATGATGTCTCTGTCATCGAGAGTAAACCCGAACTCATAACGATGCTGCTGGATGAAAGCGGTTCCAAAGTCCCAGCCCTTGGCATCATTCTGCTCGTCTTGGCCCGGCTTGATGATCATCAACGCCGACTCGGTACCACGGTATCTCATGTTGAGGTACTCCTCAAAGACGATTTCTTTATCCTCGAAACCCTGGTTGCGTAAAGCATTGCGAGATCTTTCCTTCAACTTCTCCATCTTGCTCTTCAGCTCGTCGGCCGCCTTGCCCGGGTACTCCCAGACCTTGGAGTCAGGCTCTTGGCGTTCATCAACGACATCGGCCAAAGCCATGCCGTATGCCGAAAGGACGGAGGAGTATCTGTGGATGAGGATCTGTTGGATTCCGAGGGCTTCCCCGATGGCGACAGCATGCTGACCACCAGCACCACCAAAAGTTGCCAAACGATGCTTCGATGAGTCATGTCCCTTAGCCTCGGTGATTGACCGGATGGGTCTCGTCATGGTCTCGTTGGCCACAGTCAAGAAGCCATACGCCACCTCATCAACACTCATGTTCCTTCCAGTCTCCTCATTGATCCGACCAGCAAGCTCCTGCAGCACCTTCTTACTGGCCTCGGGGTCAAGCCCTTGGTCCTCGTTCTCGCCGAAAATCTTGGGGAAAAACTCGGGTAGCAGGCGACCGAGATAGAGGTTCGCATCCGTGACGGTCGCGGGACCTCCTTTTCGGTAACATGCCGGACCCGGGTGTGCTCCAGCAGACTCTGGTCCCACGACAAAGAGGCCATTCTTCCAAAACAGCATCGATCCACCACCTGCAGCCACTGTGTTGATGTCCAGCTGCGGCGACTGGATAGTCACACCGGCGGTAGTGGTCTCGAATACATGCTCATAGCGACCCTCACCAAATCGAGAGACATCAGTGCTCGTGCCGCCCATGTCGAACCCAATCACCGGAACTTTGGTCTCTTCATCGTATGACGTGATGGCATACCCCACAACGCCACCTGCCGGCCCGGACAGGATGGCCTTGAGGCCAGTAAAGTTTTCTACGTCAACAAGGCCGCCGTCGCTCTGCATGAACTCGCAGCGCGCGCCCTTGGCGCCTTCCTCCTGCTGGACGCTCCTCGTACCCAGGCCACCCTCGAACCCGGCCTGGAAGCCCGAGATGTACTTCTTGATGGCAGGTGTGAGATACGCGTCCGCACAGACGGATGTTGCTCGTGAGACCAGCTTGATCATTGGCATAAGCTCGTGGCTGAGGGAAATATGCTTAAATCCAATATCCTTGGCAATCTTTCCGATAAGGGCCTCATGATCGGGGAAGGTGTAGCCGTGCATCAGACATACAGCTATGCTGCGGATACCAGAGTCATATACCTCTTGCAGCTGACTACGGATACTCTCAGCCTCGGGCCGCTGGAGTATTCTCACGGCTTCCCCTGATGTGCCCTGGACAAGCTCTTCTTTCGCGGCCTCGGGCGTCCCCGCCTTGGCAGAAGCCTGCGTCAAGTGCCTCTCGGGATCCTCAGCGTAGTCCTCCAGGGTCACACGCTCACCAATCTCGACCACCTTCTCATACAAAACGTCGGGTTTCCGGATTGCCAGATCAAAAATCTTGGGTCTGCTTTGGTTGCCGATGGCGAGGCAGTCCTTGAACCCCTTGGTGACGACCATGGCGATCTTCTCGCCCTTGCGCTCCAGCAACGCATTCGTCGCCACGGTGGTGCCCATACGGATGGATTCTATCTTTTTAGTGTCGAGTGCCTCGCCGCGGGGTATGTCGTGGCCGAGGAAGTGCGACATGATGCGGCGGATGCCCTCGAGGGGCGCATCTTTGTAGTTGGCCGGATCTTCGGAAAGGAGCTTGATGATGATCTCTTTGCCGTTGAGCTCGCCAACACAATCTGTAAAGGTTCCACCACGGTCAATGGCGATGCGGATGCCACGGTCTGGTAAATCTGTGGTCATTTTGAGGGCCAGGTGGGCGGGCCGCGAAAGAGTGTGTGGTGGTTCGCGGATGTGAATGCTCAGGGAGTGGTGTACGTAGGTATAGGTGCTTCTATTCAAGGCTTTACAATTCAAATCAAGGCAGATTTCAGAGATGAGATCAATCAGTTGGTTAGAGGTTCGGAGATGAATGTCAGAACAATCGATGACAAATGGTCGACGTCGTGATCGGAGGCCATTGCCGATCAGATAAGGAGCTTGAGCTCCGCACCCCACCATTAGCGTGAATTACCCCGCTGTACGTTATCGCCTTGTGGGGATATCCGCGTGTGAGCTTTACCATCGCGCATGGGCTTTCCTTCCTTCGACTTTGGGTCACCTGTCTCATTTAACCCGGTAAAGCATATTGACGACGATTGAAAAAGAAATACAAAGCTCTGGATCCTCGGGGTTCGAGGGAGAGGTCCGTAAAGCATGCTTTCGGCCGATAGCTATCCATTGCCTATGACACGCTGCAGGTGGTTGGTTTCATGGGAGATGCTTCAAGCATCGTTTTTGCCCTCACGAAAGGAAACCCCATCTCTCTTCAACCAGTAAGTAGCTCTGGCGCGTACGTGTCGTCAATTATTAAGTAAGGTAAGTTTATGTAGTCTTGTTCTCGTCCTCTTGCCTGCCAGGCTGTCCAGCATCGTTCGTTTCCCATGTCTTTCAAGTCATCTTAGTCTTACAAACAGAAACAGCGCCTGTCTTGAGCTTTGCTCCAGCCTCCATCGCTTGCGTCTCGGCTTGTTGGTACATAATGCGCTGTGCTGGCGCTAGGGGAACGTGTAGAAGCGAATTAGTGGGTAATAACCCTGACGGCTTGAAGCAGCATGCCAAACATGAAGCCTCTCGCCACCTCCTCGATCTGAAGACTGTCAAAGATACGTCCGAGGGCATCGGTCGTTGCCGCCTGTCCCATGACGCCAGACAAAGCGGCCGGAACACCTCTCGTGATGAGTAAGTTGCGGGCCTTGATGCGCAGCTTTTCCTTCTCTTCATCAGTCATCTCAGAAGGCCATGTGGCACGCTCCTCGTCCGTCGGCATCGTGTTTTCTCTTAGCTTGCGTAGGTGGTACGCGAGACCCTCGTCCTTCGTGTTGGCATCAATGACAGACTCTTGCATCATCTTCTGGATTGAGAGCAGGGATGGGTTGCCGGGTCGCAAAAGGAACGACTTAGCGGCGGCCAACAGCGTGCGCCGGATGTTCCAAGCGGACGAGAGCGTGTACATCTCATTGATGATGGCGAAGACCAGCTCGACAGCCACGTTGGTTTCTTGCTCCGACAATGGAGGGTATTGTCGTGCGGGTTTTGGCCCCTTCTTGTTTGTCTGGGCCTGCGGTGGGCTGGGCGAGGCAGCCCCGGTTGAGTTGCGTGGTGCAGCAAGATCGTTCATCTTGGAATGTACTTCTGCATCCGTGGGCGATTGGTAGTCTTCGGGCATCTCATCTGGAGGTGGAGGGAGATACTGGAGATTCATAACATCAAGGCTCGTCGAGGAGGGCGACCTCAGAGCGGGCGACTGCAAAGGCGCTAGGCTGGAAGCTCTACTATGTTCGCGACTGCCGGTAGCGCTTGTAGAGTTCCTTTCCCAGCGATCAGAACGGGGCTTGAGGCCATCTGCCTCAGAGTCTCCCCGTGGATCGAAGCTGGGCCGTCGCTCCATCGGAGCGATCTTCCCCGGTTGGGTCGCGACGATTGAAGATCTTTGGCTGTCGAGACTGTCCCTGCCCTTTCGGGGGCCCGCTCCGGTTGGTGACGTGACGGCGGCATTGAGGCTAGTCATGCTGTCCATCCGCGGTGGTGTTCCTGTCGACCATCGGTTTGATGTTTGAATTTCCGACAGGGAAGACGTCGTGTTTTTCCTCGGGCCAAGGCCGATGTTGTTGAAAACGCCAGTCACCCCGCCAAACACTGCCTTGCCGCCCTCCATAGCACCCTTTGGTCCCATTGTCAAAACGTCCAACATGTTCTTGCCGACAGTGTCCCATGCCAGGCCAGACTTGGAACTACTGTGCCCATGGCCCGACTCCTTCTCGAGGAATCGTTTCATGCCCTCACTCTCAGCGAGTGACTTATACCAACAGGCATCTTTCACGTATCGCTCCAACTCACCACGCAGTGATGCCCGCGTGTGTGATTTCCAGTTAGGAAGCGTGGAGTGTTGCTCTGTAAAGGCCGTTGCGCCCGAAATCGTTGCGATACGCCTGAGAATCTCGTGCAAAGTCTCAAAGTCCGAATATTGCCTGACGATCATCCAACCGGGATAATGGGAGGACGATGGTTCAATCTGCACCATGTAGTCCCAAGTCGGCTTGCTCCGGATTTTGCTGCTGTCATTTCCGTCCTCATAGAGGGTGATGGTGGCATTGTGAAGGGTCAAAGGAGGCTTGCGGGAGCCCTCTTCTGATGCTTCCGGGTCCTCCTTGGCAGGTGGTACGATTTGATCGAAGTTGAGGAATTGAGACGTGCTTCCGTTGGAGGCGTGTTTCGGCGACGATTTCTGGCTGGAAGAATCCGCAGCAGATCTCGGTGTGATGGGTGAATGCACGCTTTCACCTTTGTTGGAGCTGTTAGATTCATGGGAACCATGGGATCCGTTTGTCGATGGTTTCTCTGCCGAAGACAGCGATCTCGGCGACAGCTCCCCAGGTGAGGACACTATCTTGCTCCCAGTAGCTTGCACTGTCGGCCTTGGCATCGAGTCAACGCTTTGTCGTGACGTGGCTCTCTTAGCCTCTTCCTCGGCAATCAAGGCGTTCATGCGCTTCATCTCCTCCATGGCCTCCTCCATCTCCTCGTCAGCCTTGCTAAGCTGCTTTTTGTGCGCCGCCGATGAACCTTTCCGGCGTTCTCGCTCCATATCCAATGAGTTGCGGTTCCCCTTGGCCAGGGAAATATTGCCGACGTTTCCGTCAATGTCGACGAAGGCGTTGTTGATCGCACTGCTAGCATTACTAGCATTGGCTGCGTCGGGCCCTGTCTGCATGCCGACGTCGATGGCCTGGCTGAAATCGGGCTCTCCAGCTTCCAGCAGGTACACTATCCATCCGTTGATCCACTCCGGCTTCGAGCACGACTGTAAGCTCATTTCAAGAATTACCCCGGCCAGGATCTCTCTCAGGAACACGCGTGCCGGGTCGCAATTGTATGCTGACCGGTCCAAGAAGCCAAGTAGATCATCTGCCACATTGCGAAACTTGGCCGCTTGTTGTGGATGGCTCAAGAGGTTGGCCAAGTTCGAATTGGGGTTCTCTTCGAGGTACTTGGCGATGATGTCGACAGCGGAAGAATTGGGATCGTTATGTTGCTCGGTAAACGCTGAGGAGAGCTCGGAAAGGAAGACGATGAACATGGACGAGGCATTGGTCATGAAATCGATGAAGGAATCGGCGGGTCGCTTGCGATAGAGATGGTTCGAGACGGAGAGGAGGAACGAGTTAAGGAGCCTCCTGCAGGATAGAGGGAATGAGCTGTCATTGGGAAGAATGGGGGAGTACCACCATTTGACATAGTCGCGGATGATGGCGTCCACCAGACCAGTCAACGCCTCGCGCGTCTCGGGCTGGAAGTCGTCAAACCCGTGTATGAGTCGGTCCTCCTCTTCCGCGTCGTTCTTGGGCGGTTCGGCGATCTTGACTAGCGCCAGGCGTTGTAGAACGTCGATGCCCTTCTCGCCTCGGACTGCGCGCGAGACCTCTGGATGACGCGCCTCATAGGTGATGAAGGTGACAACGCCGCCGAATGCGCCAATGAGCACGAGTCCGACCTTGCCAAGGATGAAGTAGGTTGAAGCTGCCAGAGCGACTGCGACGGCTCCGAGGGCCTCGGGAGTCGCGGTCGACAAGAACCTGAGGACTTTGGCCACCAGGTCATCCTCTTCTTCGGCAGGTTTTGACGCATTGTGTATAGATGCCGGCGTTGTTGAAGGGATAGAAGCGGCGGCAAGTTTCTCTTCGGTCGCAGGGGGGACGGGTGTTGTTGTCGCTATCTTCTCGGTCGCCGGCAGCTTCTCGTCGGAGAAGACCGGTGCTCCGGGTGGATGCACGTCAGCCCGTGTCGAGTCCATGTATGCTTAGTTCGTCGGTCTATAGATTCCGGGGCCGCGCCCTCTCACATCCCTGGTGCTGGCGGCCAAGACAACGAAGCGTGCATTGATCGAATCGAGCGGAAAGAACAAGCGAGTTTTGATCGAGGTGTAAGTTTAAACCAGTGTATATGGCAGTTGGCGGTGTACCTTAGCTGCAAGCTGCAAGCTGCAAGCGCAAGTCTGGAGAAGAAAGGGAAGGGGAGAAAATAGAGGCAGAGGACAGGCTGTCCGTGTCTTCCGGGTGGTTCTTGTCAGCCACACGCTACACCAGTAGTGTTTCGGAAAGTTGAGTTGGAAAAAAAGGCGTGCATCGACTGATCCCAGTGGAACAGATCAGATGTCGTTCTAAAAGGGGTCTAGGCGCGAATGGGGGTCGGGGAATGGGCAAAGGACGGCAGTGAATTCTTGTTGACGTCTCTTTTCGGTGGAGTTTGTGTGGCAGGATAACACACCACGAATGGGAAGTCAGCTCGTGGTCCAGCTCCAATGTACTAATTTTAGTGACAGAGCCCCTGCAACCGAATGTCCTCCGTACTGTATGAATGTGTACCGTCGTGCTAACATAAAATGGAATAAAATGGAATACAAACTCCACTGTTTCGTTTGTGGGCGGTATTTCTTTCCACCCTTGAGTACACTTCTTTATTGATTGCGGTTGTGAAACTTCACCAGATCGAAGGGGCTAAAAGAAAAAAGGTATACGAATACTCACTCCCCAGAGGGAATGAGATGCTGAACGGATGCGGGGTTGAAACAAACCTCAAGTAGTTGTTTCTGGGGTCAAAGGGCCGGCTAATTATTAATTGAGCTCTTGAGTTGAAGCAAAAGGACTAGGTATGTTCCTTGCATAGGTAGGGGGGAGACGCGACAAATATCTTCGCATATCACTTCATCAGTGACCAAATTGCAGCAGAACGGACAGACCAGAATCACGTGAGTCTTCGTCACATGGTCTGGCGTTTTCCCGATTACGTCATCTTGGGGAAGTCGCGACGAACCACTTTACTCGACAACGCGCCTGCCAAGTGGTTGACAACTCACTGTGCATGCAACCGATCACCTAGGGGTTCTGCGACTAGGGAACCAGAAACCAACCCACAAATTGATCCTGAAAACCAAGCCATTAACGCAAGCGCAGCTACCAAATTCGGCCCCAGCGAACAATGCCGTTCTCGAAGGGTACCAAGCGTGGTGCCCCACGCGACTCGCGTAGCGACTCCGAGAACGAGGTCATCACCAAACCCACCAAGAAGAGCAAGACCTCCAAGACTGAAGGCAGCTCGAGCGGTGTCGACAAGGAGGGTAATCCCTACTGGGACGTAAGCAATCCTTTCTTCTTTGTTCACCCACCTTTCGTCTGGTCCTCGACTCTCCCGGCCAATGGGTGCTGATGGTTCCCCTCCAACAGCTCTCCAACAAGCGCCGCGTCGGCGTCTCGCAGTTCAAGAACAACACTTTTATCAATATCCGCGAGTTCTACGAAAAGGATGGTGACATGCTGCCTGGCAAGAAAGGGATCTCCCTCAACATAGCCCAGTACGAGGCCCTGGTCAAGGCCATCCCAGCTATCAGCGAGAAGCTCCGCGCCATGGGCCACGATGTCGAGGATGTCGAGGAGGACGGCGGCGCGCCCACCGCAGTCGAGTCTCAGAAGAAGCCAACCAAGGAGAAGTCAAAGGTCAAGAAGTCCAACATTGAGGCTACCAGTGACGAGGGGTCGGAGTAGGCTTTGAGCTGGGGTGACGAGATGTGCACCTCCGCCTCGAGTGCGACTATGGGTTCGGTCTCGGGGCCCGATTTCACTTGAAGAAACTTGGGGTATGGTTAAGTTTCTTTGTCTTTTTTAAAAAAGTTCGCACGTAGTTAGTTGCTGCTTTCTCCTGGTCACGATCAACAGGATGGATGTATGATGGGAGACGACGGAATACCAATTCGGCGCGTATGACGGGACGCGATAGCTAACTGGCTCGAATTCGAATTGACTTACTCTACCAAGCTTTATGTGTTTTGCCTTGCGAGGTTGTGAGGGGCTGGCTGGATGCCAATTGCACGAATAAACCTGTCTAAATTCCCACCTTGCTTGCACCGCTGTATAGATACCGGAATAGCCCCCCCTACCATTTGGAAGAGAACCTTGTTCCCAGGCACAGATATCATTATGACCCAAGGAAAATCCTTCTCCTCCCTCTCGTTCTTCCATTAAATTATCTTGCAAAGCCCTAGTAAGCTAGGCACCAGTCGGTACGGGGCTGTAAGAGTCTAGCGACGATGACTATAACCGTTGTCCTCGTATTGTTGGCCCTAGATACCGCGGAGACGGCATGTACGTGAAGATTTAGCGGCCACATACAGTGGTTCTTATTACCCATGGCTTACAGACGGCAAGCTTCTAGGTACCAGGTGATATGAAGAGAGGCTCTCAAGATGAATGTATTGATAGGTTTACGGGTATATGATAGTCTGAAAGGAATATAGGTGTCTGCTTAGGGAAAATGGGCGAGAAAGCTACTTGAATCATTTCTCGAATATGGTCTTCTTCAAAAAGCCACCCTTTCTCATAAGGCGATGAAATTAGACAAAGCTCTTTCTTGGTAAATCCTTTCTGCATCATCTCCTGCCAGAGAATCGATCATCGCGGTAGGCAATGAGACAGACACCATATTTCTTGTGATCCAGCGGTTCTATATTATGGTTTGTTTCACACCCGCCCAAAAATCATATCGATACTACCCCACAGAAGAACTGAGAACAAACTTGATTCTCCCTTCCTAGTGAGAAGGGGACTTTTTTCTACCCAGAGCTAGAATAAACAAAGAAACAGCCTCCGATGGGCGGTGGTATACATCTGCCGTCTCTGGAAGGTTGCAGAACACTCTTGTAGGCAACAAAAGCAGTGAGAGGTCTAAAAAACCAACTCACATACGTACAGTTGGTAGATACTTGAATATGTAGTTCCGTCCCAGAACCAAGCTGAAGCTTGGGTCACAGGCTGCCATGCATCGACCAGTATATTGCAACCTAGAAGGACTCGGGGTGGAAAGCAGACACAGCAACACATTCGAGGATGTAAAATCATTGATTCGAGGACAAGCTCGGTTATGTGCCTCCACTTGACGCCTTGCTTAGGTTTCGATATGAGAGACACGACAAGAAGCGGAGGAACAACATGTCGATTGTCACAAGTATCACAGGCGTCCGGGCTGTGGTTCAAGCAAGACTACCTAGCAAGAACGTATCGTCAGATTGGGACGGTGGTAGCCGTCTGGTTGTACAACACGAACAGCGCCGCCTCGCATCATCCTAAGCGACTAGACAGACACCGCGGGCGACCTCGTTCAACCGCGAACAAACCACGTCCACGTTTACACCGCAAACAGTCCTTCCAAACAGTCGTTTACGCTGTTCCCCTGTATTTCGAAATCGCCGACGCGGTTCGCAGGATCCCGGACGGTCTCCATCCCGACTCGGAGTGGGTAGACGGAGCAAATGTGGGAACAAACAGTACAAAGGACCCCTCCCGGCCGGAGATCATTGCAGGTGGATACCGATTCCGTGGGCAGGCGGTGGGAGTGGACGAGGACCCTGCATCCGCCGAGCGCAAATTAAGGATCTCAGTTGTGCGTCAGGCCCTTTGTGCCCGCTGTTTGGCCGACACATTGTAGCACCGGCTAGGTAGGTATCTTCATTATAAGAGCAGTTACCGATGGCAGTCGCTTGCACCCCGCAACAAAGGAAATACGTGTCATCTCCTTCTGAGCTGAGTAGGGGGTTTACGCCGTTCAGATCCCCCTCTCTTAATGGGTCTCTTAACTTTAGGCTGTATATCGCGTTTGGATCCGATATCAGCCTGAGCGCCGACGTTCTTTTGGAGGGGCCCAGATGATCCGTTTGTGCCGTTCTGCGCCGTTTCATCCCGCGTGTAATTGCGGTGGGTCAAGCCTCCAAATCCTTTCCCATGTTTCTTATTTTGCCGAGATGTCACCCATTTTTCTCTGGACGCAACGGTTCCGCGATCTCAAATCCCTGCTTCCAGAAGCCAATCTCTCTTCACTACCCTCCTCGGGGTATCGGGGGCAGGGGGACTTATCTGCGCCAAACTCTGTAGCAGCGTCGCAGGTCTAGGGAAGCTCGGTGTCAACGATTCAACGGCAAGCGCCGTGGCCGATCCTCATCATCTCGAAAGGAGCATCGACGAAACAGAGTCTGCTCGCCCTTCGGCAAAAGGTCCTCCCTTCCCTGCGCTGTGCGAAGTCGTATGTTGCCTCCTTCGCCGTACAAGCCTTCGTCTTCCCGCCTTCTCTCTGCTCAATCAAATCAGGCTTGACAGGTCGCCCCGGCGTCAGCCGGTCGTGGCTGGAAGTCTCGAGATGGAACGCGGGAGTTTGCCCCTCCCCCGCCGACCACGCTCGCCTCGCGTCCCTCAGCCCCAATGTGCATGCTCGAAGCAGGTGCAAGCGCAGCCTGGCCCGCGTGACGGCGGCGACCTGGTGGCTGTGCGGGCGAGGACGCCTTACGGCGGGTCGTGGGTGACGACGATGTCCACGTCGTCGCCCTCAGCCGTTCCGCCAGTGGATGCTGTATGGCCGTTTGCGGAGAGGCTGCGTGAAGTGCCATTGGGGAGATTGAAAGTGTGGGTACCTTCGGCCGACAAGCTGTTGCCGGCGTCGTCAACGGCGTCGTCCTCGTTCTTGGCGGATGCCTAGACGAGACGTCGTGCCTCGTCAAAGGGGCCGCATCCCCTCTGGGCCGGCTGAGCCACCTACCACTGCAGAAGATGATTATGAAGTTATTCAGTGTGCGTACTGCTTGCCGTATAAGGTGGCATGGAGGAAGTCGCGGTGGATTGTCATTCAATATCAGAACTGAGTCTGTGATGGTTGTATGCCTTGGTCCGATTTCAAGCTGTCGCCACCATTCTATAGTTGCTCTTCTTCCGCGGGCTACGACTGATCAATGCAGATGAATTGGTTTCTTGGAACATCCCTTCAGCAGGGCCGCGTATTTGGAAATTACATCGTATGTGGCCGATGCAGTATTTCAATAGCCTTGGTAGCGATACCATAAATCAAAAGTTTTGGAGCACAACCCTCGGTCCTGGCTAGCGTTGGCTTCTGAAGAATTCTCCCCATGTTCGTAGTGGCACCACATTTTGCAACCGAAACGACTTGATGGACTATCGGCCTCGTGACAGCCCATGGCATGTTTGCAGTTCTAGCGAGGCACCTCGCAGTTCGTAATTAAGAGCATCCACGGTGCCGAAAAGGCCAATTGTGGCTTTGCTCGACTCGGCCGGAGCTTAGCGTTTAAGCGATACGGACGCCAGACTTGCCGGTCTTGATGGAGACGCGATGTGTAGACCCAGCCGCATCATGAGCTCAGCACACAACAAGAGATGAATAAACTTGGCAACGGAAAGAGTGTGAACCACGCACTTGGCACCACTGCACACCGCAGTTCCGTTGGATCCGTTGATGCCATACTTTTACATTGGCGCCGCCGCAAACTCCAAGGAAGGTACGGATACCGGGGTAAACCAACCCCCGCCCCCCACAGATTTGCAGAGGGAGCCCAGGCTAAAATCCAGGGAGTGGTGTGATGTGGTGTAATCGTGGAGTTCGGATTCATTTGAGTTTGAGAAGCAACATCGGATGGATTATCGTCGATGATATGCAGCCAAGTTTATTGCCCCCCCAAAAGCAAGGCTGGGGAAGGATTGGTCATCGCCCGTGCTTTTGCGACCACTGTCAATGACGATATCTGAAGGCCAGCCAAAACCGCAAGTGCCACGGGAGTCGATATGAGACCATTGCCGACGTTGTTTGGAAGCTGGCGTTACTGGGATGGCTGAAGGATGTGCGTTTCTACCGAGGAGGAGAGAGGCGAAGTGCGCCGCAACAGGGTTTAGGGAGGAGTCCTGGAACCAGATTGAGGCAATTCAGCCCCAATGGCGGGGAACACGAGTGGTTGTGGACTCCATGGGTGCGGCGGCAGTCCTAAGCCTGGTCCGGGTTGGTGATTGTTCAACCAGAGGCAGTTCTCAGAGTCCGCGGAAGAATTACAAAGTACGAGTGCGAGTCGAGAGAGAGTGAAGGAGGCTGAGCATTTGAGACGGTGGAGACGTGGCGGGAATGCGGGTTAAAGGCGTCGTCACCTGTGAGCAAGTGTGGCGTTGAGCCGATACTTGTACATACATAGTACCTACGGTAGCTCCCTAAATAGGTATCTGAGTGCTTGCCTCTCTACCGCTCCTGTTTCCACCATTTGTTTCCCTTGTACGAATGTTTATATTTGTACATACCACAGCAGGTACACAACACTTGGATGTTTATTTTTGGAGGCACTAGTGTGCACTGCGAGAAAGAATTGCATGCTGCACTACTAGGTATGTAGGTATTCGTAACCTTTGGCTTTGCTCTCTTGCTCTAGCCATAAACTGCTGGCCTGCCAATCAACCTTACTGGCCCCCAGACCATCCCCTGTCATTAAAGAACGGCGCCCGTTACTCCATGTCAATGGCTCGGAAAGTTCCAGACCCCAGTTCAACCCCAAGCGAGGACCCTAGCAGTGCATGCGACCACGGGAACCACGACATGGAATGGGCAACAACCCTCTTGCGACCGTCGCGGGTACCTCGTGTGCCCCGAGCGAAGGAGGGAGGGGAAAGGTACTGTACGAGACAGAGGGCTCCGGTAGATACGCTGTTGAGCCGTGTTCTCGGATCGACTGTCATTGCGATTGACAGATGGACGGACAGTGATCCTACAGCAGGTGAACACGCCTGGCATGTGTAGGGAGTACACAAAGATACGGCTTACCTACTTTTAGACCCCCCCCCCCCCCCCCTAATGTGTCTGTGGCTTGACACAGGGACCCAGCGGTGGTCTGTCGTTGTTCAGCCAGGGCTGCCATGTTGGTGGCCCCCATCTCTCTAAAACCTCACCGCTAGGCTCGTCACACGTACACTTCACGTACGCAAATACATGGCTGTTGTTGGCTTTTGGCTGTCTGGGATGGGGCCTGGCGACGTCACCCGGCCCCCCTAAATTGCGCCGACAAAGAGCAGAAGCGGCGTCTAAACCACCTACCTACCCACCCCAAGGCAAACAAATCATTCTTCTGGAAGCTGGAAGCCAGAACATCTTATTTCCTTGCGAAGAGTGTGATACGTGCCAAGTACACAGTACCTACCTGGCAGAAACACAATGCCTCTAGCTTCTGAGTGACCAATCTTGTTCCATCTTCAACCCCAAGAACCCAGAAGGTAGGAGATGCCGCGCCACGCTAGCATGTCTGAAACGCGATAACTCGACCTCGGTCTATAACGTGTGTTTGGCGCAGTGAGGGGACACCATCAACTTGGACGGATAGCACTAACTGTCTGGGTAGTGTAGATCGCGACCCTGCGGATCTTTTCTACAGAGTAATTACCTCACGATGCAGTCCACCTCATCCACCCGGCGTAGGCAGGTACTTAAATGCCTAGGCAGGCACTTACTTACCTAGGTAGCTAGTACGTAGATATGTAGCGAATGTACCTTTGTACTTCGTACTCTGCACGTAAACCACATGTACAATGTACGATGTACATCGTAGATAGGCTGGGGGAGGAAAGCAAGGAAGCAAAGAAGGAGGGAAGGGAAGGAGAAGGAGTAAAGGAAGATCCCTTAGTCAGACGTGGAGCTGCTCCTGCTCGCTGCTGCGCAACGAAACCATGCACTGCCGTCGCTCCCACAACCATCGCTACCCCTGTAACCAATACATCCTCCCCCCGTCCTGGCCATCCTGCTACGGGCTCAATCAGCTTGAAACCGCGCCTACCCAACTTCTTGAGCGGCACTCTTCTCCCTGACCTTCTCTCCCAGATTTGACCGAACACATCCCTTCTTCTCACCCTCTCCCTCTTCTCCATCAGCCCCGAAACCCGTCAGGCGCATTGAGTTAAGCACCGACCCGCGCTCGCGCCCATTACTGTACTGCAAGTATACCATACCGCAGACGCCGCTGCGCATTCCGGTATTGCCAGGACCAGGACGTACACACACAACCGCGTAACGGGCCACCTCCCTGCTTACCTAGCTTGCCTTGCAAAAGGAGGGTAAGCACGAGCAAAGAAGGGAAAGAAGGGGACAGAAAAAAAGAGGAAAAGAAAAAGAAAAGAAAAAAAGGCCCTACTTACATTCTGGCACGCTGCCAAAGGTAAGGTATCAGCAAGGTATCGTCGCGGAAGGGGGAAACAAGTAACAGGGGCTCAGCTGAGGTTGAACCCGCTGACAAGACCGACCCCCGACATCTGCGACTGCGACTGCGACTGCGACTGCGACTGCGACTTTGCGACCTGGTCTGGATCCAAACAGTCCCAACTCTCTCCCATCCTATCTATCCACTTTCCATCTCGACGTCCCTTCTTGCCTCTCATCTCGCGACACACAGGTGCCCACACAACGACGCTCCTAAGTGGCCACTACCTTTCTGCACAGCACGGCGCATCCGCTACAAAGCCAAAACCTAGAAGCACATACCGCTCTCCCCGAGGGACGCGGATCGCCTACCTGATCCATCCTCATATCCACCCGCAGGCTCTCCTAGTCACAAACATCAGACACCCGTTCTTTTGATTGAACCCCTCAATACCATCTCAACCATGTCGTATAATCGTTTAGGCAAGTTACATGGTGTCCCTCTATGATATGGCTCTCCGGCGTCACTCATCCCAAATCCCCCCCTCCCTCTCCTTCCCGCACAAAGCCCCGACTGGGTCCGTCTGCGAACGCAACCTGGTGTCTGTCTGGTTCAACCATCCTGCAATTCCGTCCCAACCGCACTGCCTTTTGTCAAAGAGCTGCTTTGCCTGCTGTTGAGGAGTACGAATACGCAACTTCGTGGCGCAACCTTCTTCTCTTCCCCTCCTACATACAATCTTTTCTTTCCTGCTTCCTTGACGCATATCCTCCTACGTCTCGGTGACTTGGCCAGACAGCGAATCTAACATTCTCCCTCCCACAGACGACGATTATTACAACGACCGCATGGACCCCAGGTACCATCGCACGCCTTCACCAGGCCAGCCGCTTCAACATGGCTACCAGTTGGAGGACAACCCCTTCAACAACAACGCTGCCTATCAGCCTCCGCCCCAACATGACCCTTACGGCCATACCAGCCCCCACCAGCAGCTCGATGTCCCCATGGGACCGCCAGCTCGGTATGGCACGCCTAGTGACCAACTACCGTTGAATGCAGCGGTAAGTCGTTCCAACGCCTCCTTTCACCAGCCCAACTGCTAATCGCTCCCGCTATTAGCACTCTGTCAGCAACCTGAGTGGATACGACACACCCGTCAACCACGGTGACTATGGTGTCAACCCGGAGGCGCATCACGATGCCTACTACAACCAGCCTTACGAGCCTTCACCCCACGATCCCTCGGTGCCCTATGACCAGCCCACCGGTTACAGCGAGTATGACGACAACAGGCCGATGCTGCCTCACCAAGACACCACCGACGGATACCAGGACAACCCAACACCGCAGCCCGCCGGCGGCCTCAAGAGGTGGAAGACCGTCAAGCAGGTGCTGCTGTACCGCGGAAACTTGGTCCTCGACTGCCCCGTTCCCCCCAGACTACTCAACCAGATTCCCCACGGCGAGCGCGACGAGTTCACCCACATGCGCTACACGGCGGCCACTTGCGACCCGAATTACTTCTATGATGACAACTTCACGCTACGACAGAAGCTCTTCTCCAAGCCCAGGCACACGGAGCTCTTTATCGTAGTGACCATGTACAATGAGGATGAAATCCTGTTCGCGCGAACAATGATTGGTGTCCTCAAGAACGTCGAGTACATGTGCAACCGCAAGGAGAGCAAGACATGGGGCAAGGACGCATGGAAGAAGATTGTCGTCTGCGTTGTCAGTGACGGTCGTGCCAAGATCAACCCGAGAACCAGAGCTCTGCTGGCCGGTATGGGCGTCTATCAGGAGGGCATTGCCAAGCAGCAAGTCAACGGCAAAGATGTCACGGCCCACATTTACGAGTACACGTCCCAGGTCGGAATGATGATCAAGAACGACGTTGTTACGTTGGTCCCCAAGCAGCAGCCCGTCCAGATGTTGTTCTGCTTGAAGGAAAAGAACCAGAAGAAGATCAACTCTCACAGGTGGTTCTTCCAGGCATTCGGCCGCGTTCTCGACCCCAATATCTGCGTCCTTATCGATGCTGGTACTAAGCCTGGTGGCAACTCCATCTACCACCTATGGAAGGCATTCGACCTTGAGCCCATGTGTGCCGGCGCTTGCGGCGAAATCAAGGCCATGTTGGGAACGGGTGGAAAGCACCTCCTCAACCCACTGGTTGCGACGCAGAACTTCGAGTACAAGATGAGCAACATCCTCGACAAGCCGCTGGAATCTGCCTTTGGCTTCATTTCCGTGTTGCCCGGAGCCTTCTCCGCCTACCGCTACGTTGCCCTGCAGAACGACAAGAACGGGCAGGGTCCATTGGAGAAGTACTTTGCCGGCGAGAAGCTCGAGGGTGCTGGTGCCGGCATCTTCACGTCCAACATGTATCTCGCCGAGGATCGTATTCTGTGCTTCGAGCTTGTCACCAAGCGTAACTGCCATTGGATCCTTCAGTATGTCAAGTCCGCTACTGGCGAGACCGACGTGCCGGACACTGTCACCGAGTTGGTCCTCCAACGTCGTCGTTGGTTGAATGGTTCTTTCTTTGCTGGTATCTACGCCATCGCCCACTTCTACGAGTTCTTCCGGTCCGATCACTCCATGCTGCGAAAACTGATGTTCTTCGTGGAGTTCGTCTTCAACACGATCAACCTCATTTACGCCTGGTTCGCTATCGGTAACTTCTTCCTGGTTTTCAAGATTCTGACGACAAGTTTGGGCGACGACAACTTGCTTGGTAGAACCGGCGAGATCCTTGGTGTCGTCTTCACTTGGGTATACGGTATTGCTCTGATAACGTGTTTCGTTCTTGCCATGGGCAATCGCCCAGCCGGCTCGGGGCCGTACTACATCACGATGGTTTACTTCTGGGCCTTTATAATGATGTGAGTTTGTTTGCCTCGACTTGCTGGTCTTCAGCTAATCCTTTGCAGCTACCTGTTGTTTGCCGCCGTTTTCATCGCCGTCAAAGCTATCATCGCTGACGTCCACGACTCCAACGGCTTCAATATAACCGATCTCTTCAAGAATCCCGTGTTCTACACCCTCATCATCTCCGTCATGTCGACTTATGGCATTTGGCTGATTGCCTCGCTGCTGATGTTCGACCCTTGGCACATGATCACGTCTTTCGTTCAGTACATGCTCCTGACGCCCACATACACCAACATTCTCAACGTCTACGCGTTCTGCAACACTCACGACATTTCTTGGGGCACAAAGGGTGACGACAAGGCCGAGTCGCTGCCCACGGTCAGCACCAAGGACGGTTCCGGAAAGACGGATCTCCCGGACGAGGCCGATCTTAACGCGCAGTACGAACGTGAACTTACGGTCTTCAGCACCAAGTTCGTGAAGGAGGTCAAGGCGCCGACCGAGTCGCAGCTGGCCGAGGCTCAGATGGACTACTACCGTGGTGTTCGTTCTGTCGTCGTGCTGGCTTGGATGATTTCCAACTTTGGTCTTGCTGCCGTCGTCCTCAGTGCCGCAGGTCTGGAGAGGATAAACCCCGCTGCAAACAGCACTGACGACGTTGATGGCCGTGCCAACATCTACATGTCGGTAGTGCTCTGGTCTGTCGCTGGTCTGTCGTCGTTCAAGTTCATCGGTGCCATGTGGTTCCTCGTGGTCCGCATGTTCAGAGGTGTTTAATCGCCCGGGGGTGATAATCGACCTGCCGACGAAGGAACGCTTATTCTTCGCCTATTGGGTGTTTTATGACGATTTCAATTGTGAGCATTATACCCGCCTCTTTCCGGAGGAAAGGGCTCGGTGGACGGTGAACACGGCTTTTGGGAGTTTTCAGCTCTCATGATGTATGGAGTAAGACCGCTGGGGTTGGCGGTTGGATGTAACTCTAATGACTTTTTTCTTTTTCTTTTACGCGTTTCTGGATCATGCTTGCGTTGGGTCTTTTCCTCCTTTGCCAATCTGCACGCATCTCCCTTCTCCACCCCGACGTTTTGTTGCGTTTTTTGGTTTTTCTGATATCACCTGGAAACACCCGTTCGAGTTTCTCTTCTTCTGGCACGCCGTTCGATCCTTTGTCCCTCAATTCGCCCTTGATGGGCGACGGAGCACATTAGGTATAGGAGGCACTTGCAACAGGAAGGGGATAGGGGGGTTGATTCGCAACTTGGTTATTGGAAGGGATTTTTTTGTTCTTTTTACTAGACGGGGCAGCCCCTTGAGAAAATGATGAAATGAGACCAACAATCTACAGAGACACAAATCCTTACATGATGTGCCAAAGATGACGATTTTTGCGTGTGACGGACGGGGCGTCGAACCGGGGCCGAAATCAATGTTGCATATTGCGTCGTGCCTTTCCAGAAGAGAAGCCGGCTGACAGCTTCCCATTTGTTGGCTGACTGGTTGGATGTCTTCCTTCCCCGACGGGGTCGTGAGCCGGGCGGTTAAATGACGGCGGCCATGACTGGATTGACTGTACGCAGAAGGGGCTCAAACGCTCTTACACAAACCGTTTACGGGCTTCGCCACGATGATGTTACAATACAGTCAAACCATGAGGAAACGGGTGCGATGCACATGAACTAGATTGGGAATCGTATTTACTCTGCGTCTTTCTCCTTTTTTCAGTTCGCGACTGGTATACCAGGCATACCTACCCGTCAACAAAAGCCGGCACGTGAACACTGGACCCACGCTACGAAGCCACTTCCTTGCCGAGCCTCTCCAGCTCCTGTTTAATAAACTCCTCGGCGTTGAGCATCTCCGTGCTGCCGTAGACGACCCGCCGCTTGGCGCGGTCGCCGCCCGTCCGCTCAACCCACTCTTGAAGGTTGCCGTACTCGTCCATGCTGCCGCC